AAAAATACCGTCATTTTAAGGCAGTAATTTAGCTGAGCTCATAGCGCGCTACGTATTAATTAAGCACATCTCTTAATATTCTGACTTCCGGAAAGTAGTATTTAATTTGTTCTCGTAGATCAGTGCTATCCCCCGCGTGCCGCCAGGTTTTATTTATACAGGTTGCGCTCCGCAGTTTTACTTTTTTATTAGGCCTAGACACGTTTTTATTCCTGAGATTCAAGTGCAGCACGGATAATTAAACTATCTTTCAGAAACGGCATCGTTCAACGTTGTAACAATTATTTTTCGTAGCGTCAAGGGGTCACATTCACAAACCCGGCAGTGTGAACATCCACAATGCAGTGGTGTTTCTCGCTTTTTTGCGTTAAAGAAATAAGTTTTTATATTCGCGATCCTCTGGAGCGGTATGTCGTATAACATAATTTATCAAAGCAACAGATATCGTTTGGCTATGGGAACGTTCAAAATATTTCTGTTAGATAATCGTAACTACCACAGAAAGCAGTTGATTCCTGTCTGAAATAGCATATTTTCGCACTCAATTTCGTAGCGTCATAAGCAATAAACACATCTCTTACTTTTCTAGTCTCTGGAAAGTAATGTTTATTATTGTTTTTGTAACTCAAAGCGCGTGCTCAATCATGCCACGTTTTTTTTTTCTTCATTTTTAGGCTCCGTTATACCGTTTTTAGTTTTTATCAGGGCCAAACACCTGCGTATACCACCGGACCCTAAGTATAGTACATCAAATTAAACTAGCTTCCTGAAAAAAGTGATGTTCAGCGTTGTAAAATTTATTTTTCGTGGCGTAGGCGGTCACATTCTCAAATTCTCTGCAGCTAATTTTCTTCGCCGTATTTTTTTTTTCTTGCGTTTTCGCGATAAAACACGTCAGCCTTGCCATACTGGGATAAAATACCCTAGCGTCGGCAGTCATTTAGGAAGGATTGATCAACGCAAACATTTCCACTCGCTATCCATGAATTGCCACAGTTTGTCAGAATCTCAATGACTTGACTTCATAGTGAAAAGGACGAAAAAAAAAAACAAAAAACGATGCCGGTCAGTAAACGGATCTTCCATGACGGGGCTCGCCAGCTTGAACACCAAAGCGCCGATGCCGGCCAGTCACTGAACTTCCATGTAAATACTGGCCATCAAAGGATATATTAGCTTTCACTTCACAAAATAAATTTAATTTTTGTCATTGTTTTCTGTTCAGATAAATTCTGGATCACGGTTAATATGAAACATACACTTAACGCCAATGTCAAACCGGTCACATTGTTTTTTTTCTTTCTGTGTTGTCTCAAAATCGTTACCAGCGACGTTTCAGACTAAATGAATACTATGTTTTCTTTTCCGCCAGCTCTGCATGACAGTCAATTTACCTCGTTTCTTCATATTGGCTACTGCATGTCAGGACAGGAACATTGGTGGTTTTGATAGAACCGAATTGGATGGACATCTGAGAATTCTAACTTATTAGTTATTACACTGAAGGCGACACGTACTGACACATGTAGCGATGTAGGAGCGTCATAGATTTAGAAATAGACTTTTTTTATTATAAGCACGACTAATGATTCCAACCAAGTATCCTTAATCCTAAAGTTAGATTGAACGGAAATCGTATTACCAGATGCACCACTCGCTGAAAGTAACTCTGTCAAATTGCCACAATATTTCAAGATCCGTCCTCCAAGTCATACATGAGAAATTTTTTTTATTTTTTATTTTTCGGCTAATTTTGGTTAAAACCAGTTACCGGTAAATACTTTACGGTTACGTGTTTTTTTTTTTTAATTTCAAATAACAATTTTGTTTCTGTTACGGTTACTGAAAATGTTCGTTCCTAAATGGTTTTCGGTTTCGGTTACGGTTTAAATCCCTGCTTTGCGTACCTAAATTGATAAAAGCCCCTAAAATTGCCTGCATGTGCACCATAATAGAATGTTCAGCATGCGGGCATAAACAAGGAGACCGCAGGAAAGCTGTCAAAGATACTGAAATGACACTTCCCGATTGTGTGTACATCTAGCTGTGGCATCGAATTAGTTCTTGTTTTTGTTTGTTTTTATGTGGAGAAAATTATATAAAAAAATTATTTGACAGTTATCAAGCAATTATTTAAAAAATAACTAAAAAATACCAAAACGTTGTTTAAGCATAATAATGAATAAGTATTGCAGAGTGCATAAAAATTCTAGATGGAATCAGATGGCAATGACTTGCACAAAAATCGCTGTGATGTCTCCTTTTTGGCACCGCATATCAGCTGGCTGTCTTCTGCGGTCTGAGCTTTGATCGACGCAGCAGCCCGTACGTACGGTATCGGGATGGATTGTTTGCAACTTGATATTTCAACCATACGCTTGAAAGTCTTCGGCATCAGGCGGCTGATCCGATTTTCTTTGGAACAAGATATGGCAAAGTATGGTTTGTGCAAAGCAGATATTTTCAGTCTAGACTTTGTCCAATTTGTTTTTTAACCGAATTTGACAAAAAATGGTTTGTTCGAACCGCATATTGTGTGTCTGGAATTCCTTCAATTGTACTTTGAACCGGACTCCAGAAATCACGGTTTGTTCGAACCAATTAGGAAAATCACGGTTTGTGTGAACCGGAATTTGACTGTCTGGAATTCCTTCAATTTGACTTTGAAGCGGATTGGGAAAATCACGGTTTGTGCGAACTGGAATCTGTCTGTCCGGAATTCCTCCAATTTGACTTTGAACCGGATTAGGAAATTCACGGTTAGAGCGAACCGGAATTTGCGTGTCCGGAATTCCTCCACTTTGACTTTGAACCGGATTAGGAAAATCACGGTATGAGCGAACCGGAATTCGCCTCTCCGGAATTCCTCCAATTTGACTTTGAACCGGATATGAAAATTCACGGTTTGTGCGAACCGGAAGCCACCTCTCCGGTGTGACTCCGGTTTGATCTTAGTCCGGATTTCACTTTCCGGACTGATTTCAAACCGTTATTTTTGCTAGGGAATTAGCACAAATTACTGCCTCAAAGTACTGAAAAGGAAAAAGTAATATAAAGTAATTGTAATTTAATGTCATTACTTCAGTCTGCGGTACCTTGTAATGTAATTTAATTACATTTTTTGCAGTTTCCATATAGGTATTAGTGATGTAATTTGATTACATTTTGCAGTTTTTATATAAGTAATTAGTGATGTAATTCAATTACATTTTTTTCAGTTCGATATAAGTAATTAGTAATGTAATTCAATTACTTTTTTGTAGTTTTCCTGTAATTAGTAATATAATTTAATTTTTTTTTCAAAGTAATTTGACCATCTCTGCGGTTCACCTCCTCTTATTTTTCCCATTGATTTATATTTATTCATTAAATTCTCGGCAGTTTTCAAGTCGTTCTTACCCCAATGTCGCCGTGTTTTCTGTTTTTTTTAATTATTATTAAGATTTTGATAAATAATGTAGTAGAAGTCACACAGGCGCCCTCTATAGGACAGCTCTGTAGAAACTTTCGACCTACTTATGACCAGACTTAAGGTTTTTGCGGTATCTGTGAAACCAAATCTACGCACTCTCAAAATAAAATTAAAAAAAACAGCGAAAAGGACGCAAAAACAAAAACAGAAGACATTCATAAACACTGTTTTATTCATTCTGATCGGGCACCGACTCGCACAGCTACGATACCTTGTTACGCGCTACCTGCGAGAAATGGTCGCTCTTAACGTTGTCAGAGTTATTTCAAACCCACGGGGAAAGGATCACGGGTAAACATATGCGCAGATCGGATGTGTTCTAGCGCTACCCGACAGGTAGCGCCAGTATGGTCTCTGGTCGTAAGCGGTCACGAGAGGTCGTTTTCTGACGAAAAGTATAAATAAGTTTGGCGCTCTTGGCTACAAACCGGCTCGTAGATACAACGCGAAATCTTTTGCCGTTACGTGTAGCGCGTTCTTTGGACATCCAATCGCACGTCGCGTAAGTATACAACGCGAGGCACCGTTAGCACGAACACGACATCGACGTCTGTTACGCGTTTCGAGCAGTGTCACTGTGCGACGTGCGGTGTCTGTGTTCATTACAGCCATCAGAAGGTGTTAAAGTTACACCGAGTATAGTCGTCCTCGAAAAGTCCAACGATGTTCGTCGATGAACTCTGAGTGGGTACCAGTAATAATCATAATAATAATAATAACCTAAGCTAGTAAGTAATAATATTACAATATTGCGGCATTATTTAGGTAATCATGCCTACCGAGACCCCTACGTGGAATACGCGTTTCAGACTTTCAGTGTGTTTAAATACCGCGTTTATGTATCGAGATTCATAACGCGACTTCGGACGAGAACAGCATTGGTTGTCGCCAAGGTCACGTGATCGCTCACTCTGGAGCCCATGGTTGTGAGGCGCTTTCTCCACTGCAGGAAGTCCTGCTGCGGCGGTGACACTCTCTATCGCGAACGCCAACAAAGTTCGAAATGTACTATATTTCGTTTCACCTTAAGTTCGGACGCAGCTGATGGACGCTACGGGCTGATGGGACCGATCAGACAGCGTTAAAAGCGCACCATCATGGTGTGTGCCATGCTTTTGTACGAGTTGTATCATCGCTGAACCAATCATAAAAGAGCCACAGTGACATGGGTCCCTTTAGCTCGTCGGCTGCGTTCGGACTTTTAGTCAACCTTTTCGTATCAAACTCTAAGGCGCAGTTTGATAGTAAAATTCCGAATAAACGCTCACCCCCGAAAGATCGCCCACCCTATATTTTTGTTTCATAATGTATTTATTCTACTTGCAGACACATGTACAAACGTGCTACGAAAGCAAAGCTGGTTATATGTGGGACATGCAGGCAGCCACTGAAACACTATACACATCTCATTCAATCTTCACCGCGGGGTGGGCGTTTATTCAGATTTGTATGTTTGCAGCGCCGTACCCTCACTGTGTGGCGTAAGGCTCTGCCTCGTGCCTGACGCCGGTGGCGTGTGCTTATGCAGGCAAGTCGCTGCCCGTGCACTGCGTGGTGGAGCGCGTGCCCAGCCCTCAGACGGAGAACCAGCAGCCCTCGGTGGAGGTGGACAGCTACGCCATCGTGCCCAGCGCGGCGCTGTTTGCCGACCTCGTCCGTACCGCGCTCACCAAGCTCGGCTACTCGCCGTCGGAAGCCATTTGTGCCAAGGGTGAGTGAGACTTGCACCCCCCCCCCCCCCCCCCCCCCCCTTTACACGGCTTGCACCGACTTCACATCAGCCGCCATTATAATGGCTTTGCTTCTGAGCGCGTATACCTTCTGCACTATACATATCGCACCTCCGAATTTTTTTCGGCTAAAACTAGAAGAAATAGCCCATGATTGACCACCAGTACGGGGTAATGACTGTTGTAGCCGCGGTGGACGAAGCAGAGCCGTTGGCTTAACATGGTTTATTCGGCCAGCATCGCCGTAGAAAAGAACCGAAGCCGCCGTGCTTACAGCGCATACATACAGATATGGCCGCCGTTATCAGGGCATGCGACATATAGAGCGGCCTCGCGCGCTTTATCAAGATAAACCACTTCTGCCCTCTTATTTGGGTTACACAATAGTTATGGTCGGTACCAATCTGGTGGCTTCCATGCACGAGTACTGCGCCAAGCGGTCCCTGAAGCGACCGCGCGCGGGATAATACTACGGTGACTGCGGCGTGGACCTTGGGAGCGGACTGCGGTCCCACTGGAGTGGAGGATCGCTTCTCCAGGGGATTTAGTTTGGGGAACCTCAGGACGCAGGGGCTCGGCCGTAGTCAGAGGAGGCCTGGTTACAGATGCTTACAAAGTCTGGAACAAAACTCGGCATCGCCCTAGGCTGCAACTCTCTAGGCACTGTTTCAGCACTTTCAAAGATGCGCGGATGTAAACCGTCTACATGCACAACCCGGTGTCAGTGTCCCACACGGGCAATGAAAGTGTAAGCGCTACACGTACCGCTCTTCTACGACTCCGGGCAATCACTTTGCTTCACCGGGACGGAGACCTTGAACGAACGCCTGCTCATCCACTTGGAAAGATCTCCAGGACCCTCTTCTTTCGTCGGTCTTGCTTTTTGCTCTTGCGTATACGGTCTTGCATACGCTCGGTGCTGCAAAGTTTTCTTGGCGTCCCCTGTTCTCTCGTCGAGAAGCTGTCGCAGCAGGTCCCGTTTAATGGTCTGGGCTGTCTGAACTACCCGCATAGCACTCCCACTCGATGCAGGGCGGCATCCTGGTAGTGCACTCTGTTCCTGCTGAGAAAGTCCGCGAAGCCTTTTCGCGGTAAACTGAGAGCCGTTGTCCGTTACCACCTCTTCCGGAAGTCCATACGACGCGAAGACACTTTGCAGCCTTTCGATGGTCTTGTCTGTTGTTGTTGACGTCATCAGGAACACTTCCGCCCACTTTGAGTGTGCGTCCACGAGCACCAACAGCCACTGGTTGTCCGTGAACGCAACATCTAGGCGAATTCGCTGCCACCTGTGGGTCCGTCAACCGCACGTCTGTATAGCGGCACCCTCTGGTAAGCATTCTGCGTCAACTGACAGGTGCTGCAACTTCTGACAGCACGCTCAATGTCTTGCGCATATTGGGGCCACCGTAGATATATCTACCTACGGGTGAGCATTTTCATGCGTGTCGTGCCTGGATGACCTTCGTGCAAAACGTGCAGCATTTGTTTATGTAAATGGCGAGGAATAATCACTCTGTTACCCCAGGTGACACACTGCTCGTCGAGAAACAGTTCATGTCGTCGGGCGAAGTTCGGCGTCAACTCTCTGTCAGTTATACAGGCGTCGGCCGACCATGCATTCTGTATGGCAAAACTTTTGATAGCGCACTGTCCGTGCGTGTGAACTTCTGGATCTTCGCAACAGATAACGGCACTTCATACACAACCGACAAGAAATGTATGTAAGCGGAAACATCTTTTTCGTTAGCTAACGGCAACCGCGAGAGTGCACCAGTATTTCCGACAGCGCTGCCTTTGCTTTACACTCAACGATAATTGTACGCCGCCAGCAATAAAGCCCAGCTTTGCATACGGGCAGCTGACATCACTGGAACGGGTTTGCAGTGAGTCAAAAGGCGTGCTAATGGCTGATGCTCCAGGATAGATTACGAGACTATACGTCCCCGAACAGGTACTTGTGAATTTTTTTAAGGTCAAAGCCTTATATGTTTCATCGTTCAGTCGACCTTCAAAGTCCTTGAGCGGTAACACGTCGGCGACACGAAAAGTACCAAAATGTTTACGTGACCACTCAGGCGAATTGGAGGCATTGAAATTAAGAAGGATGACAAAGCCAATCAAGAGGAATCAAAATGAATTAGGAGGGATTAAAACGAATTAAGAGTAATTAAAGAGAAGTAAAAGTAGTCAATGGCAATTAAGAAGGACCTCAAAGCGAATTAAGAGAAATCAAAAGAAATTAAGAGGAATTAAAGTGAATTGAAAGGAATTAAAGTGAATTGACAGGAATTAAAAAGAAGTAAGAGCAATCAAAGCGAATTAAGTGGATGACTAAGCGAACTAAGATGATGACTCAGCACATTAAGAAGGATGACTCAGCACATCGAGAAGGATGACTCAGCGTAGACTCAGCACGTTAAGACGAGTGTCTGTCTTCAATACATCGGCGCTTCGGTTTTCGCCCTCAAGCTTTGTCGTGGAAGGAGGGGGGAGGGGGGAGGGAAGGGGGAGGGGGAGGGTCAAGGCCGCGCTTCTGGGTCGCGTGTCAACACTCCTCTCTTCCCAGCTGCGTCGCCCGCAGTGCCGACAAGTCCCGTCGTAGCTCGGCACGTTCGCGACGTCTTTAATAAAAACAATTCGTTCGGCCTTACCTGTGTAAAAAAAATAATGTTTGTTTTTTATTATTTCGGGTGACGAAGGCGTTTCCGTTGATTCGGGATCAGCGACAGTTTCCATCAAGATTTTTGAAGTGATGCTCGCTAAAATTTAAGGGCGAGACATGATTCTGGGCTAGGTGTCGCAGACTAGCGCCTGAAACTAAAGCCGGGGTCACGCTGCTTACACACCATACAAAAGACAGTCTGCATCCCGATTCGAACGCGAGTCACAGCGAGATCCGTGCTTCGAATGCCGCATGGCAATCAGTTCAAGGAGAAACTTGCACACGGCATTCGAACCACGGATGTTGCGGTGACTTGTGTTGCAAAACTAAGCCCGAACCAATCGCTGTAATCTAAGAAAGGAGTTCGGCGAAATACGAGCCCTGAAATATGTCGACTTAAAAAAGCAGGCCACCTCAATGACACCAGGCAAAAAAAAAAAAAAAAGGATATTGTAGTTTGATTGAGAAAAAATTATATATATATAAAGATATTGCAACTCGAACCGCCAAAGCACCTCACCTGTCTCTTGACTCGCATAGCAAATTCCACTTTTGTGTGTGTGTGTGTGTGTGTTTTGGTTGTTTTCTAGTGACCACGCGCAGGGAGGGCCTTAATCCCGGCAAGGGGAACAGGGATGGGTTCGGACCCCGGGCTCCGGGCCCCGGGCTCTAACGGGATTGGCTCGCTCCAAGCTCGCTCGGAACACGAGCACGACTCCATCCTCCCACCGGGCAAGAAAGAAGGCTGATCTTCGTCGGGCCGCCGTCGGCTTAGCCTTACGAGATTAAAGCGAACCCCCCATCCCGCTTTCCTCCCAGCGCACAACTCGATTCACCCCTAAGCCGACGGTGCGCTGGAAGCTACGAGCTCGTTGTCACGTGTCCGTATATGGCCACGTGATCACGCTCTTCCGCGTACCCTCGTGCAGAGAGCGAGGTCACGTGATGGAAGGCAGACGGTCGATTGATCCGGCGAGCCCGTAGCTCCCGTCGCACTGTCAGCTTAGAGGTAAGCGGAGTTTCTACGCGAGGCAAGCGTGCAGGGGCACAAAATAGCCGTAGATCCGCACGCGCGCGGCGGCGAAAAAACCGGGCTTCAAAGGAAGGCCCCCTGGCGACGGTGAAACGCAAAAACGGGCCGTCTCGATGGGGGTAGGACGACGGGTAAACCCGCCCGCGCACGAGCGCAGAGAGCACGCGCGCTCGCTGTGCTCGTCGCTGCTGCCGGCACGTTCCATAATCTCTTGACTAGATTAGGCCTCCCATGTTTTATTTAAGTCCGGATTAGGCGGCACTGAGAAGCTAAAGGGGATATAGACGAGGAGTAGAAGGGGGGGGTGGAGTTTCGAAATACGGGGCATGCTAAGAGGATTAGAACCTCTTCAGTGTGGGACCCCTTTGTACCTTTATCCGCGGAGGGGACTTTGTGTGTGTGTTTTGTCGTTTGTTGGTGCTTCGTTTGTGTTGGCGTTTCGGGAATTCTGTCGGCCAGGTTTGTCGTCGTTGTTGGTGTTGTTGTTGTTGGGTAGGGGTTGTCGTTTTTGTGTGTAAAAGTGGGCACCCCCCTTTTTTTTTTTTTTTTTTTTTTTTTTTTTTTTTGTTTTGTGTGAGGACGCGAACGAGTTCTGAAGGGTCAAAAGGTGCAGAGGCGCGAGCGTCGACTCCGGGCATACAAAAGAGAAAGTAAGTCGACATCGTAATTCGCTCGTCGCTGACTCTCTTTCTTTAATTCTTTCTTTCTTTCCACTTTCGTTGTCGTCGCCGAGCCCGCGGCCCGGGAGACAACGATAAAAAAAAAAAAAAAAAAACGCGTATGTGTGCTATATATATATATAATATATATAATGTAGGGGGCGACTATACAGTATTCCCGAAAGAGACAAAAAAGGAAAACAAGAAAGAAAGAATAAAAAAAAAGTTTGGAGCTACTTAGGGAATGCGCAAAAAGAAAGGCAAAAATAAGAGCGACTTATCTGCCCCGAATGTAAGACGGTGGGAACGCATCTGCATATACGGCCGCGAGGAGAAAGCCAAATTCGCGTTAAAAATGGTCTTATCTCTTTCTTTGTCCCCCTGCCCCCGCTTTCCGCCCCCGTTTTTGCTTTAATATTCATACGCAGCGCCCCCCCCTATTCTTAAGCCGGCTTGCGCTCTTCTCCGAGACGGAGCCAATCCTCTTGCTTTTTAACCCTTTTTTTTTTACGATTGTTGGGTTTGCTCTTTGTGTTCTGCGTTTAATTTGTACGGTTCGTCGCTATGCGCGCATATTCCCGCTTCTTTGTCAAGAAGGCGAAAGAAAACGACGAAAGGCGACTACACAAACAGCCTCCCTAAAGATTAAAAATATATATATATATATATGGATTGGGTGGGGGTGGGAATCCTGCCTTCCGTTTTGTTTCCGCGACCGGTCGCGAGGTGGCGCCACCGCCGTTAAAATCCAAGATGGCGTAAGCTCGGGCGCGCGCGCCTGGTGGCGTATAGCGACGCGAGCGACACGGCAATGTGAGCGCTGATGCGCGATCAAAATTGGCTCTAGATGTTGATGCTTCCGGTCGTGTTTTTTTTTTTTTTTTTTCGTTTTCTTTTTGCGTATGCGCGCGCCTTCTCCAGGTTCGCGATTACCGGGCAAGGCCGCCGTCGCGGCTGCCGCCGGTGTTATATGCGTGACCCGCACTTAGCAACGCATATTGATCCCTTAATCCTGTCACATTTTCGGAGGCGCGCGCTAGCGGCCGCGTGGGCTCGCAAAGGTGAACACGAGCTGGTGTTTTTTGTTTGTTTCTTGTTTTTTTGTTTCAGGAAAAAGAGGGAAGAAGGGGGGGACTTTATCCCCGTTCACTAGCGAACACCGTGCACCAGCGAAAAACAAGGCACACACACACAAAAACAAAAACTATACCACGGAAGGGCGGCTCGGGAAAGATATATCCTTAATTTTGTTGTTTGTATCCCCATATGTGTATGCATATGTCGTCCTAAGCGGACATATCGGGTGTAAGAGGGTCTCCATTCTTCCCTGTTTTATTTTATTTGTCTTTGCGTGTGTGTTTGTGCGTGCGTGGAGCCGATGTGCTCGCGACCCGCGGTTCGGCACCCTCGCTCTCCTCTCAAGTCTCGTGTTGGCGGATAGTTTCTTCTTGCCGTAATTCTCGGAGCCGGAGCTGCTTATCCGCGCATTCATAAGTATCGGCTTTGGCGCCCCTCCGTTATTATTCGCGGATTTGGTCGTCCTCGCCGCCGCCGGCGCCGCCGCCGAAGCCGTTTTTGCTCTTTCTCGTCGTTGGTTGGTTTTATTGACGAACCCGCGCAGCGTTTTCTTCCATAGTTTCGCGTACTCTACGTGACTTTGTTTTGTGCTTTACTCTATGTGTTGTTTTTTTTTCTCCTACGAAGCCGATCCGGCTTTGCGTGGGCTCGCTCATTGGTTATGCATGAGTGGCGTTCTTGAAATTTAGGAACAGATGTAATCGCGATTATGTTTCTTTTTTATTAGTTTCTTTTTTTTTTTTTTCTGCGAGCGGGGCATAGGACGCGAGGGTATGCAGCTTTAAGGATCCCCGCCCAAGAGATTATCTTGCTTGGGCAAGCGCCGAGGCGGCGGGTAGGATTCCTAATCCCCCTTTGGCCGACGCTTAGGTGCGACGAGGCAGCAGGCCGAGCACGTCGTTGCTTCGGACACCGCGGCAGGTTGTGGTCCGGCCCGCCAACGCCCGCCGCGCACCGGCGAGCCGGCTAATGGCAGCCTAAAGTCGTAACTCTTTTAAGGCCGAAAAACACGCGCGTGCGTGTTTTTCGGTGCAATAAACATGTATAACATGCGCCTTGCACTGACGTCACATCATCCATATCGCACCACCACGGAAGAGGGAGAGGGGAGAGCAGCTTTTGTGCACATTTGGAGTGACGGGTTAATCTTATGTAATATGTTACGGGGAGAATACCGACGTCTGGGCAAGTCTGCAGGACACTCAAAAGTGAGTCCCGGTAAAAGGGGGGGGGGGGGGATTCTTTCCTTCTTCTTTGGTGGTGGCCGGAGTGCCGACGGGATGAATCTCTCACGGCGAGAGAGGACATTCTAGCAGAGTGGCACCATCTATGAGACTACCCTGGAACTGCATTTGGCTAGAGCGAAGGTGTGGCAGAATTTGCGAGGTCAAGTGTGCGTACTACCTGTGAGAAATGGTCGTTTATAACATTAACAAAAGTTATAACATTAAGTGAAGAAAAAAAAATGATGCGCGAAAAAAAAAAAAAAAGATGCGAGACCGCCATACGTTTTACAGCTACCGGATAGGTGGCGCCAGTGCGTTCTCTCGTACAGAGTCGTATATGCGGAGAGTTTGGTCGAAAAGAAAAGGTCGAAAACAAGGGCACGTCATTGGCCGAAATTGTTTCATTGACCTTGGGCGCGATGATTGGCAACCCTCTGAACAACCACGAGCCACAATTATTGTTTTGCCTCATGTTAGTGTCACGTTTCCTGGCTCAGTAAACGCGCTCAGCAACTTAAAACTCCCCTTTTTCACCAATCTCTTACAATTATACATTGATATGTACTCAGTCTCATCCAGAAACGAAACGTACCTGGGCCGTCCTACGCGAATCCTTCAAGGTCATCATCCCAGCTTATTCTTACGTCGCATGTTCATCATGGGGGGCACATGCGGCGCGGCCGCTTTCGCCGCTCCTCCCATTGACCGGACTCTATTCACGGCTCTATTCTCGTCGTAAGAGGTTTTAAGCGGTTTCGAGGCACGCGGTCCTAAGGACTTGCCAGTGCGTGAACGGGCCTTTCGAGAAATACAGTCTGTCAACTTTCCCATAATGCACTCGAGAGAGGCAATCGCCGTACATCTTTGGAGGGAGCTTGGAGCATGCGCAGTAGCTTTCCCCCGCGGAATATCAGACGTCGCGGATATGCATCCCAGTGAGACGGCATGTTTTCGCCTAGGTGAAAAGCAAAGGTGCGTAGACCATCGCATCGCTTACAGGCACGTGGGATTGTCCGCGCACGATCGGAAGGCATTGCACATGCGCAGTGAGGTGTTCTTTTCGGAGCGCCAAAGAATTCGCGGGATTGATTTCTGTGCGATAGTACGGCAGGCGCCACCGCCGCCCGTGCGTGACGTCAGAAACATGACTTGGCGCGTTAATATTCAGCGTCAGGGAGGAGCTTCAGTTACGCGTGCACCCCGAACGCAACTCGCGCCCCTCAACCGAAGCACGACGGAAGCCGCGGAGCGCGTGCCCGAGGTCGGACGTTCGAAAGACACACGCCCCGCCGTTCTCTTTTTGGTCGACGTCGCGGACGGAGCGTTTGCTCACGCACGGTGTTTTCCCGCAGGGGTGATGCAGATCAAGAACTGGAAGCCCCTGTCCTTCGACCAGATCACGGAGCTGCCGGAGGCTACCGTCGGGGACATGCTGGCGGACCTCGTCCAGGTGGCCACGCTCAGGATACGACTGTACAGGTACGCCCCGCCAACTCTTTATCGCGTCGCAGCTCCGTCCGTTCGTCCCCGAGCTGACAGTCGTGGTGGTGAGCTACTGGCTCGCCGGACCAATCGACCGCCTTCCTTTGCGCATGAGTATGGGCGGGAGGATGGTCGCGAGAGCTCCCACCGCACTGTCCAGCTTGGAGGATAGGGTGGGGCTGACGGAGACAGACGGAATGTCTCGTCGCGGACAACGCCAACGTTGTGCCTTCGCCGGGGTGGCCGAGTTCGAACACGTATAGCACAAGCATGGGCCATAAACTGGAGTGGAACGCGCTATATTTTTATCGGGTGAAGGTAACGATGTCGTGTTCTCAAACACGGTTTGGTCTCGCCATCACCGCCACAACGCGAGTTACGTATACAAATATTCCAAACTTTACTTCTTCTTTTTTTTTTTTCACTCTTTGTTGCATTTGATACAAGCTAATGCAAGCAGCTTGTGAACTGCGCTCGCAGCAATCGCTACCCGGAAGGATAATCGGCTAAGTTGGGCACATTATCCTTCCGAGTGGCGGTTGTTGCGAGCTAACTTGCTGACCCACAGACTGTATACAGGTTGGCAGCTGTTACATGCCACGTGAGGAAGATGCATGCATCTTTTACGGAGTCCCGATCTTTGTCATTGTGTGCTGGTTGCACGCATAAAGTCCATCTTCGATATCATGCCAGCCAGTGGTTGTCAGACGTTGTTTCAAACGAATTTGTCCGGGTCTCTGTTTCCCTCGTTCTTTTAGAGATTGTCTGCGCTTATTTGCTTGCCGCAGCCACGCCGCAATCCATGGCCGCCAGTGTGACCTCTCACCTGCGTGATCACTCAAAAGTGAATCTCTTTTTTCTTGCTCTGGGCACGTGTCACCTTACACCCGTTGCCTTCCAGGTTTGTGCTCAAGCCGGAACGTTGGTTGGTGGTTGCCTCTCGCTCACCTGCCCTTCCCTCTTCCGCTCCCGGTCGCGCCCGAAACGCTTCGCTCACTCTCGCGGATTCGCGTTCGCGCGTCGGTCGGTCGGTCTCGCGGTCAGCGATCGGCGAGGTTCTCGCGCTTCGGCGGCCAAACCCGCAGCTCCCGTTCCTCGGAGACAGAGTCCCCCAGGGCCCGGGGGAGTCTGTCGGACACGCTGGACGGAGAGCTGAAGGCTTGAGTCGAACGAGCGAACGCTTCCGCCGGTTTCGAATAAAGTCCGTCATCGCGTCCGTCACGTCACGGTCGAGCGTCCCCGGGTCATTCTTACTTCTCTGTGTGAATGTTTTGTTATCGAGAGAGAGCGAGAGAGTGGGGGCGAGAGGGCAGTGTGGCGGCAGAGAGTGCCCTCGAAGCCGGGGATAGCGCCAAGGGACCAAGTGAAGTGTTTTGGTCGTTGCAGCCGTCCCAAGCCGAACGTGGTGAACGACGTGAAAGAAAAGCTGCTCCAAGTGCTGTTGGCGCAGTCGCACTCGCTACTCCTGAGCTCGGGGTGCCCCATCGACCAGGTACAGGTGACCGCGCCGTTGACCTCTCCGTCCTAAGCGCCGCGCATTCTCGAGAGAAGGAACAAATTGCAGCTGTGTATATATATTCATGTATCGATCAAACTATTATATGCAGACTCGTATGTTGTGAGACACGCAGCGGCCGCTCGAGATTCAATATCCGCCTTGCTGGCGCGGGACGCCGAGTCTTTTCAAAACGTCGCTTCGACGCTGTTTCTTCTCTTTTTCTTTTTTCTTACGATGACACTGAGAATTAACAGGCGAGGGAGCGTTGTGTGGGGTGGCTCGCATAACGCTTCGACGCGCGTCGCGTGCCAACATGCGCAAAACGGTTTGGCAGCCGGCCAACACTCCTAACTTCGACAGTGCCACGCTGCACGCGATGCTCGCAAAGTCGCACTTGGGCGCGCTAAAAAAAAAAAAAAAAAAAAAACTGACGATTTATTTTGAAGCGACCAATGGAATAGGTCAGTAGTGTCACGTGAGTCGCGATGCTTCCCACGCGTGATCCACAGACAACCTGAAGTGTGCGGGCTGACTAAATTTATGGCGGTGCCACCTTTCGCAAAGGAGCGCCACGCTCACTCGTGAAACTCTTCTCTGTAGCAGATCTCGACGCGAGTAATTACGGGCAATTCATCCCCTGTCCGGTCTTGCTCAGCCTGAAGGATTACATTGTTGCGTTTGAGAGATCAAACGCCATTGCTTGCCAAGGGGACGTGCGTAGTGTGCGCTAATGCCCCCTAATAAAGGACTCGTTGCCCTTCACATCGCGGGGTGTAGTCAGGAGAAATTGTGCGCAAAACATCAGGTTGGACATGCGCACACGGACCGTGGAAACTTAATGATGACCGGAATTATCGTCACGTTTCATCGCGAACTATGGAACTCAGGATTTGACGCGGATTTCGGGAGCCGACTAATGAGATAGAATGTACCTTTGTTCCCTAAGGAAAGTTGTAATTTTTTTTTTCTACTGATTATAATCGGACCTCTTTTTTTTTTTTTTTTAAGGGTTAGCTTGAATTTACTGAAACAAAGGACGGAACAGGACAGCACCGCTGACTAACAGCTTTTGCTTTAGTACACTTCTATGTATGTACCAACTAGCTCAACTGAAACCTGTAACAGAGCTCCTTTCTTTGTTGTGGAGAGTGCTTACGTTCATGGCCGGACACGACGTAGGCACGTTGTCGCATCTTACGGATGCACACGAGTGCTGAATACCATATTCCATCGCATATATTGGTTGTCTATTTCATTACACTAGTAGTTCTGATGAAAATGATCCACGTTTGCAAGGAACGTTTGGAAATACAGGTGGTCCCTCGTTGAAGCTAAATCTGTGTCGCATTGTGTATGCGCCCACCGACTACAGCGCTCCTAAAGTGCGTAGAATGCGTAAGAATAAATCAGTCTAGGACCTCCCTAGCATGGCCAGATAAAGCCATGCATGCGGTGTGCAGGGGACACAGCTGTGGAGACGCCTGTCTGGATGGATTCGTTGCTTATGGACTTACATCGGCTAACTGTCATAAGGCCGGCCTATTCTCTTTTAACGTTTCCATCTATGAAACTGCGCATCCAAGGCATCGCGCCCAAGTAAGATTAGATAAGACAATGCATCCCTCTTAAAAATGTATTTGAAGAGAAAAAGAAATGCGCAGTTGTATTTCGAGTCATTGATCAAACTGCCATTTGCAGAATTGCGTTTTGAGGAACTCCAGTTTCAGCCTGGCACGCGACGCCGTGCCTAGCGTAGCCACGTCCTTCTTTTGTACACTTTTCTCGTTTTCGCAGCTGGTGAAGTCTTCTCGGAGAATTTCGGAATCTTCTGTCCTGCCTGTATTCTTTTTTTTTTTTTTTTTTTTTGTGAATGTGTGTTGCATAGTCGGCGAAGCTTGCGGTGCAGGTGTTCGGCAGCCGGCCAACTCTCTTGGACCGTAGCCGCCGTGTAACGCTTTACTTTTCAAGGCTAAATCAAAGTTAGCTTCAGTAAGAATGCATTGAAGCGAAGTGCAGTCTCGGTTCCTACTGTAAAGTGCAGTCTCGCGCAGTTTGGTGTGTGGCGAGAGTACGAAGCGGTGCCTTGCGGGCGGATGTGTGTTCGCAGACGACGCTGGCGGCGCTGACCAAGGGCAAGGCCGAGTGGGAGATCTCCGAAGAGACACGCAAGAAGTTCGACCAGTGGTACCTGCACCAGGTGTTCCAGCACTGCAGACAGGTGGCGCTCCTTCAGCACCAGTTGCAGCAGCAGCACCTCCACCAGCAGCACTCTCCGCAGCAGCGGATCCTGCAGCTGACGCTGTCCCAGCCGCCGCTGTCCCAGCAGCAGCCGCAGCCACAGCCGCAGCCACAACCGCATACGGTCGTGGTCGTACCGGCGCCGTCCCAGGTCTCTCCGGCGGCTCCGACCTCGGCTCCGGCCGCGCACCGGCTTCAGGCGCACCACGTGAGCGCGTCGGCGCGGACTCGCATCCGCACCTCGTTCGACCCCGAGCTCGAGCTGCCCAAACTGCACCGGTGGTTCGCGGAGAACCAGCACCCGTCGAGGCTCACGATCCAGCAGTACGTGCGCGAGCTGAACGCGCTCGACTCGCGCCGCGGACGCAAGCCCCTCGACGTCAACAACGTCGTGTACTGGTTCAAGAACGCGCGGGCGGCGCACAAGCGGGCCGAGCTCAAGCTGTTCTCGACGGCGCCGCACGCAGCGTCGGCGTCGGCGGCGCCGCACGCGGCACCGCTGCCGGGCTCGGTCCACGGCGACGCCGCCGCCACCGCGGGCGGCAACGGTCTCCTGCTCAGGAGTCCCGCCTGGGACTGCGCGCTGGACTCGACGCAGGACTCGGACGACGCGAGCTTCCGGAGGACCAACGGCTTCGCGACGGGCCTGCAGGGCGACGAGGACTCGTGCGGCGGCGGCGGCGGCGGCCCCGACGACGACGAAGAGGACTCGCCGCCGCCGAGTCCCGAGGCGACGCTGGACCTATCGGTGCGCGGGCGGGACCGCAACGGCGCCGTCAAGGAAGAGCCGCGGGACTCGGGCGGCAGCAGCGACATGGAAGAAGACGAGGGCGGCGGGGAAGACAGCCCCGCCGACAGCGAAGACGAAGACCCCTGCTCGCAGGGCGGCGGCAACCCCGGCCGAGGATGCGGCTCGACCCCGCCGTTGTCGTCGCTCCGGGACGACCGGCGCAAGCGGAACCGCACCTTCATCGACCCCGTGACCGAGGTGCCGCGGCTAGAGCGCTGGTTCGCGGCCAACACGCACCCGTCGCACGCGCAGATCGTGCGGCACACGGACGAGCTGAACGGGGCGCCGTACCGCAAGCGCTTTCCCAGACTGGAGCCCCGCAACGTGCAGTTCTGGTTCAAGAACCGCAGGGCCAAGTGCAAGCGGCTGTCCACGGGGACCCCGTCGATCCCCGCGGCCTCGGCGGGGCTGCTGCAGGCCGCCCTCAAGGCCGCCGTCAGCCACGGGTCGGACCTGGCCTCCTCCGGGCTTCGGGGGACGTCGACGACGTCGTCGTCGCCGCCCCAGCGGGTCGCCCCGTCCCCTCCGCAGGACGCGGCGCGGTCGTCGCCCCCGGCAGCCGCGCAGTGACCCCCCTACGGTGCTCGCGCGGACCTCTAGTCACACTGGGCCTGCTGCTGCCCTCTCGCTCTCTCGCTCTCGTTCTCGGTAGAACCAAAGGGGCGCCGCCCCCGCACTCTCGTTGACTCGGGGGCGCCAACCGCGACACACAAACACACACGCGCGTCCTCGCGGCATTTCTTCGGCGTTTGCAATCACCGTTTTTCGGTTCCATAATCTCCCTCCCTCGCCCCCTTTTTACACCTCCCACCAATCGCGTGTTTCGTTTCGTTCGGTGTGTCTTTTAAAGCCATGTCCACGCGGGTTTCGGCGGGACCTTAGCGATGCTTAGGCGACGGTTCCTCCCGTAATACAACGGTTGATTAGAGGCTGCCATGACGCAGCGTTTTTCCAGCCGTTTCCTGCCCGGGTATCTCCCAATCAAACGGTATTCGGCACCAAGGCTCTTTCGTAGCCGGTGTTTGCGTGGCTCTTACACTCAATGAGAACGGAAAGACGGGTCGGATCATCCATTCCTCCGACGACCTTTTAAAGGCGTACGTTCTTTTCTGGCTCGTTATTATTCACCGAAAAAGGCGAGGAGAGGCCCCTCCCACGAAGCTCTCCGCTCACCATGATTGGTTGTTTCCTCCTCTCGAGCGTTCGCTCTGCTAAAGTGGAAAGGGCGAAGGGCTTTGTAGGACGAGCCTGTCCCGCTGTCCTTACTCTACGACAGTCTATGCGGACTTCTGGTAGATTCTTTCCGCCGTCCCGCAGCCCCCTCTGCAACACTTGTCACGCAAGGCTAGCAGCGCGCTCGCGCACAGCGCCGTCTTTGTCGCGTAAGCGTTGCGGGACGGCGGAAGCGATCTACAAAAAGCCCTTAGTGACTGCAAGCACCGACGTTCTTCGCAGGCAAAATTGAAAAACGAATCCTCGATTGTAATTTGTTTTTAATTTAAAAACCAAAATTTGTTATGGAAGCAGCCACCTTTCCTATTATATTGGTCTTCCTTGGCCCTATGTTATCGTGCGGGGATGTTCCTACCCAAATACGGAGTTTTCAATTAGATCGTTCTCGCGTTCCGATACCCGATACTTCACCGACGCCTTTGCGCAAACGGATCGTGTCGCTATCGGAGCTAGGAAACGGTCCACTAAAACTCGCCCCTAACTGCTGCCTTCGCCGAGATTGCAAAACGTCGCAATAGAAACCTCGGAAGCCAGTCAGCCTAAAAGCGAGCATCTCGACCGTATATGCCGCCGAGTGATTTGCTTCAATAGGGAGTTTTCGTAGACCGCGTTTCCCCCTCCGCTAAGCCCTCCGCAACGAAAAAAAAACAAAAAAACGCTACTGCGCCTGCGCGCCGATGGCCTTGACTGTAGAGTTCCGGGTGTCGTAGTAGGTTGTGGAGAGCCGTTGCGAGATGGCGAAAACCATCTACAAAAACTCCCAGATGTCTTTACTAGATCTACACAACCTGAGCGAAGTCACGTGGAAACCTGTGCTGGACCGTGGACTCACGTTAACCCATCGTTATTTTTGTATCTCGCGTCTTCTGGTCCTGGTGCTCCCGTTTGTCCTCGTGGGTCCTTGTTTTTCCCTACGCCGAAGCCCGTGGACAATCAGATGTGGCGCCATCTATGAGCAATACTAGCGTCCTTCGGTGGCCGTTGAGTTTGAACCCCCTTCCTCCAGATCTATGCAACGAGTGAAGCAGAGGGAACTTTGGACCCCAGCCCCCTTCTTCGTCGGAACCGTCCCGGCGGCGGGTTTGGGGACTTGCAATAACGAAGAGCTTTCGCTCCCGATTTTCGTTGACCAGTTCCTCGGGCAGTTTTTCAAGTTCCGCTTTTGTGCAGACTTGTTTGTTCGTGCGCGTGCACCGGGGGATGGCTAGAGTGCTGGATGTTCCAGTAGTTTAGGGATATGGCAACTCTGGGAGAACATATATAGGGCATTTCCTTTTCTTATTCAACTGGTTCTGGCAGGGCGGCTCGTCGTTCTTTTCTTCGAAGCTGACGCGCGGAAGTTCGTTTCCAAGTTGCATTTTTTTGGGGGTCAAACGTCTAACTGAGGCACCTCTAGACACTGATCAGGTTCCAATTAGGTTATAATCAGGATACGACCCATGGTCTTGTTGTGGCGGCGCGCGCAGCGTATCCCGTGGTCCTTTGCGAGGTTTCGGTTTGCAATTCCGCGTGCTCTAAGCCGCGGACTTTTCGCGAAAATGATTTATCATCGCGTTGCATCCGACTCTTGTTGAGACTACCTTCGGTGTCCCCCCTTAAAAACGAGTCAGCCGTTGTTGTTTGCCGTTTATGGCTAAGCGTATGCCATCCCCCTGTCCATTCGGTTCGTCATTTGTCCGAGCTTTTTCGTCTGGCAACCAGGCACGTCCGGGTAGTTACGTTTTCATCCCGGGCCTGTTCATGCTCAAAAGCGCCACCACCACCATCACCGCCGTCTAATATTTTGTTTGTCACAATGCCTACCTCCTGCGCCTGCATGTTCCTCGTTTTCGAATAGTCTTTACTAGAAGCAAAAGGTTCTATAATAATAGGGAAATTTTTTCCGCTTTAGAGCCATAAAATACACTACACTTCAAGCATCGGCACTCCCTCCCTGGATCTTGTGGGCGCCGCCATATCGGTCCTTGGTACAGAAGGGTGCGAAAAATGGCGGTCGTTACGACGGGGAAAATACGGACGTTTGCAAGCAGTCGTGCTTCGAGAGCCAGTCTGGCCACCGTGGATGGGAAAACTTTTTGTTTAGGTGCCAGTCTCTTGCAAACGTATGTAAGACGTTTGCAAGTACGGCTCTCTGCGGCTGGGTATGGGTACAGATCGTCTGATAGTCAAGCATTGTTGAGGCGTACCCACGGTTTCCAGACTGGCGCCCAAACAAAGCGTTTTCCCACCCACGGTGGCTAGACTAGCTCTTGAAGCGCGGCTGCTTGCAGCGTTCTACTCCGCGATCTGTGTTTTGACATTTTTGGTGACCGAAAAACAGCCTTCTGCGATTTCGAGCTAAAACTTCAACATAACTAACAACAATGATTTTAAGCTGCGAGGTGACGGGAAGTGTCGTTGTTCTGAAGCGTAGTAGCCTTTTTTGGGGGGCTCTTTCTCGCACGTTCCTTTCGTCAATTTACGATTTTTTTTTTTTTTTTCGGAGCGTGGAAAACTTTTGTAATATTAATTCTTAGCGTGCTGCTTTTCGTAAAATATACAAAATAACTCCGCCGCTGCACACTGGGCGGCGGATGTGCAATAACTTGAAAAAAAGTGCGCGTCGCTTGAGAGAAGAGAGAGAGAGGGACTGGTAGATGACGTTACGCCCCCGGCGAAGAAAAAGAAAGTTAATAATTGCTCTATATTTTTAACAGAAAGTGGGGAGAAAACCTACTCGGCCCTCGTTCTCTGGCCAGGCGACATTCCCTATACCGGTGATGATGATGATGTTTCCTTTGTAGTTGGCGGAAATGCCTCCATTGTTTGAAGACGAAAAAAAAAAAAATGAATAAGCGCGAGTCGAATGTTGTATACTACCAATTAACCATTTATTGTGCATAGCCTCTTACATTATGATGCTGTTGGCATCTATGAGGGGGTATTCACGGGGCGCCGTAATGTTGTACGTTGTTCGCAGCGCACACTCGGAACTAGATTCCCATTTATCGTCCTACCACGGAAACGGTCCCGAGAGTGTGTGTGTTAAGGACGTTGAACGTGCATGCTCGCGTTTGTCTACCAGTCGGGGTGTTTGTGTTCTCGACAGTTCATCAATGGGAGGTATTGGCGATTTGCGTCGCGTGCTCTTAGAACCTATTTTCACTGCTTCGTCTTTAGACCGTCAGACGCTGCGAATATTTGATTCGCACGAGAAGGCTGGTGAGCGAACTTTCCGCCACAGCTTTCTGTTCTTGCCGCCAGGTGCCGTAGGTTTCGCTGGAGTCGTCAATATTTGGGGACAACTCGTTCCGGCGGTGCGGTCTCGCACCATGTGCGCCGATCGAAACTGCGCACGTGTCGAAAAAAGTTGTCTCGTACAAAAGTTCCGAGCTTGCGCTACGAAAATAAAAATAACAAAACAGCGTTCAACGAGGCTACCCACGAATATCCCCTGTGGGAGGCTATGGGTGTGCAGTCACACCTACTCTTTTTTAACGCTTACGTTTAACCCCACCGAACGCAATACCTCGGCGAATGAAATTTCCGCCGCTGCTGAGCGGGTCGCGGGAACGATTGAATGCTAAGCCCATCGTTACGGCGTTTTATTTTTATTTTCTTGCACCCAGCTTGTTTCGTTAAATGGGTTGGCCACACTGGCGAGCGTGGGGTTCTGGGTCGTCGTCTCGTTACCTGGCTGCGGTCAGTGTCGGCTTTTTTGGGATTATAGCTGGCCACGGTAGTTTCCGCGAATAACCACGACTCCTAAATCCTAGTCAGCTTTTTTTTTTTACGTAGTTTGTTTTGTCTTTTGTGTGTGTCTGTATCGTTTCGTTACGTTTCGAACTTTGGTCTACGCCCGCTTACGGTTCGGAAATTACTAATGCCTCCTCTACCGGCAAAACACTAATACTAAGACGTGTATTGTAAATCTGAAAATAAGTGCATCGTAATGATTTTTTTTTAACAGCGATTACTTGCGCAGTATAGACAATAATCCAACAAGGGCCAAGCTGTGTCGTCCTAGGACATTGTATCCAGCGTTCTATCTTTTAATATGTTTGTATCGGCTGTTACGGGGTAGGATAGAGCCACTAGATAAGCTACGCTTGAGCATCGGCACATCACTTCCGGATTTTCTTGTGGGGGCCTCCATTTTGGTGCCCAGCGCTGAGCGGCCGCCATTGGCGGTCGTTTCGATTCCACAATGCGACTTCCCGAGCTTCGGATACGGCGTCGGAAAGCTCGGGAACCATTTCAACATTTCTGGAAGACGGATAACCGTTTCCTACGATTTAACATATACAAATCAAAGCTGCCGACAACTGGCAGCCATGATTTTAACTTTTAAGCGCCAAGTTGTGTCTGCTCTGAAGTGCGGCGTATTCAGTGGCTTCGGGTAGGGGCTCGTTTCGGTAACAGATCGGGTAACTCGGGGGGGAGAAACGGGTGGCGTAGAGTAGGCAGGTGGCCATGTCGCCGTGCTCAGTTTGCTCGCTCCAAAGACCGCGTGTGTGACGTCAACTTTTTTTTCTGCTCACAACCTCGACTCACAAGAACTTCCTCCTATGTTTTCCTTTGGCATTTTTTTTATCCATCCCTTTATATAAACATATACTATATTATTATATATATTATATACATAGTCTATAATACCCAATAAACCTCCTTTTTTTATTTTACTTATCCTAGTGCGTTTTGTTTAGAGGCTACATCGTGTGCGCAAAAATCAAACGGGAGATTTCGTTGCTTGTTTTTAACTGGCGCGCCGTCAACGAACAAAATACACGAGAATACCAAACTCCTCGTCATTTTTCATGATACTGCCCATCACACGCGGGTTTGGTTCTTTTTGTATATTGTTTAAAAAAAATGTAAATAAGGGATTTCTTTTTTTTTTTTTTTTCCGCGCCAGCTATAATAGAGTTATCCGGGCTACGGTTAAGCCTAAATCCGGAAGACTCGATCCGCGGCGGTACAGTCGCGTACAATAAAGATGGACTCAACGCTCCCGTTACCGGATGGGCGGAAATGTAGAAATCAATGAGGTCTTCAACTACCTGGTGAGACATGCTTGGTTTTGCACGCAGCCACGCTTCAAATGCTAGTCTGGCCACCGTGGATGGAACGTGCTTTGTGTGGGCGCCAGTCTCGCAACAGTGGGCACGCCTTAGCGAGGCTCGACCGTAGCTCGACTATCAGACAATCTACAGGGTGTCAAACCACTAAACAAAATTGCAGTGTTCTTTTCTTTTTTTTTTATTGCAACAATAAACTACACGATACTGAACTCTCCTTCTCCGCCCACGTGTAGCGCCGCAATTCGAACCAGATGCCAAAGTTTCAGCACTAACCGTTATTTGATTAAATTTTTCTAAAATTTTAAGTGGGAAAATGGCGGCCTACGATATCCTACGATATCGGTATATTTGGCGACATTTAAACTGTAGGAGAGACCCTGTTCCGAAATTCTCCGAAGAGAAATGACGTCTCCACGGCACTCAGGATGTAAGTAGCATTATTCTTGCGTCACGGAAGGGGGGGAGTATTTTTGTCGACACATTTATCTTTTCTAATATGATTGGCTACAAAAACGAGTCTCTGGCTCCTAAAGTCCAAATCCGATTCGACACCTTGAGCGGGGCACCCTTTTCTAGTTCTGATGTAAACTTGGAGGCAAGTTTTGGGTCGATCCATCCTGATCTCTTCCCCGGCGAGATAGAGCGAGACCGGCGCCACGCGTGGCGTTGTGCGTCACTTCCGTTTCCGGGACGTTGAGTCTGCAACGTTTGTACGCGACTGTAGTGTACCGCGCCGCCCTTACCCTAACCTCGGTTAACCGGGGAAAGGCGGAGTTACGTCCTGCGCGCGCACGAACGCGTCGCACAGCCACGTACCAAAAGCAATAACTGAAGCGTAGAACTCCGAGACTCGTGCAGGGAGTACGCGCAGACGCCATTGTTGGTCCCTCGTGGGGACCCAATATGGCGGCGCTCCGACCGCAAATCCGCTAAATGGTGCAACCGCTCTGTATAGACGAAAAAAAAAACAAAAAAACCGGTGAACTACGTACACGGTCGGTCAGCCTTAGGAAACCCTGGCGAAGACACTACGAAGAGGGGGGGCACGCAAGGAACTGTGGAAGCACTCCATGCCGCTTGGGGGCGCTTCGGTGGCTGCTGACCGTGCGTCACTGTTCTCCGTCTCACCGTAACTTTGCAAACGGCGAAGGCTACTGTGCCAGTGAGCCAATCAGCACGTTGGAAGGGAACACGTGACTCTGTCTTACCAGATGCGCACAGTACTGTCGAAGCCACGGGTGATGGAGAAGAAAGCCGCTTCTGTACGAATTTTGAGTGACTGGCTAATCTCGGAGGGAGATTCGTGCGTCGGAGAGCTGAGACACGCAAAAGAGGGTGAGAGGAGGGTTTCTTCTTCGCTTGGGGTTATTGCCTTCGCCCTTGTACTTCTGGCAAGGGCTATCACATGCTTCCCCTGATTGGCCCGAAGGAGCCTTAGCGTTCGTCCCTTTGCCAAGTGACGGTAAAGCTGAGTACGGTTTCCTGTCGGTGCCCCCGCGTAGTGTTCCGACCTCACTCGCGGGCCGTCTCGAGGAAGGTTAGGGCCTTCCTCCTCAGTAATTGTGATACTACAAGTCGCGGGACATGGCGCTGGGCGCAGCTCAAGCTCGCGCGTCAAGCTATAACTACGAAACTGAAGCAGATCCAAAGAGAGGCGGGGAGGGTGCCGCCGTGTTGTTCGGCTCGTTTCCAAGCCCTTCCTCGCCCATAGAGAGAGAGAGTATACTCAAAGTTTTTTGCCGGCCTCTTTAAGACGCTCTGTGTACGCGGGTTGAGCGCACCCTCTGCAATTCCTTAGTCCCCACCAAACAGGCGAGGAAGCAACCGACCCATGCTATCGGAGGTGGTTTTCTCTGCTTCGCCTTTTATTTTGACCTGTTTTTTGTTCGCGGTTACTAATAAAACCGAATGTTCTTTATCGGATGGTGTTCTCCCCTTTTCTTGGCTCGTCGTGCGGGTGGTCCGAGAGGGCCGTGTGCTGAGCAGGAAAGACGCTACTGCGTCCCTTTGTGGGCGAGGACAGAAGAGTTGACGGACCTTGTGGCGGCTCGGGTAGCGATCAAAACGTACAATAAAGAATACTATTCCGTGTAACTGCGCACAGAATGGATGCAGGTAAGAGGGAAACACACGGCGACATCATATTTTATTACTGAAATACTTTCGCCACAGGTGGAACGTTTGGTTCGATAACGGATTCCAGATGTCATCTATACTGTTAAAGATGATCTCTCGTGTCACCCTACTTTCACGAGGTACTCGTCTGAGCTGGTGGCGGACTTACGACGCCTTATAAGAACGGATAGCTACAGTCCAGTTGACCTTTGGGCTGGCAACGAGTCTTGCGCAACGTTGCTGCGGTTGTTGGGGGCGTGTTTGCGTGGCCGCTACTCGAAGTAGGTTTCATCTCCTCACTTGGATCATCGCTGTCGACGGCGATCCGAACCGTAAGTACGCTGTGCTCTGATCGTCGAAGCACTGGGAGAGAAGAAACAGGAAAGTTGTGACCGTCTATACGCGGTGTGGGGTGAGTACGTGACAGAACGGTCCTACTTATATGTACAGCCTCGTACTGCTGCACATTCCTAGGCATGTCTATCTAGGAGACGCGCTGTAGACCAACTTGAGGCAGTTCACTACAAGAAGCCCAACGTAATCATTGCGAAGATGGTTGCTTACGATGTGTGGACACGGAAGCCAGACCCTCCGTGCACTGGAACAGTGCGGACTGTTCTCGGTGACTCAAGGCTGGGTTACATCGGGGCAACAGTTATTGCCGACGCGTGTATATACGTGGCAGAACGTAGCGCAGTCTGTCCTCGGGGGAGACAACGACGTAGACAGTCTACGACGAGGGACGATAGTACGCTCGCCACTACTGTCCAAAGAAAGACACTGGGACTGTTTCGCCTTTGCAACTTCACTGGAGGCGACGCGACGCCACGCACCTGCGGCGGGAAAGATGCGAAGTAGAGAAGTGGGTGGCCGAAATGCGAAACGAGAGCCGTGACGACGCGTTTCTGGCGCCGCTTGATTGTCTCCCCATCGGGTCGTAGCGTTGGCTTCGCTCCGACTTGCGTGTGAAAAAGTTGGGCTCCCAAACAAGCGGCAAAAGACCAAAGAAAAGTAGATCGCTGCGTTGTTTAATTTTAGAATAAAAGTTTGAAGTATCTTATTACCCACCTGTATCGGCGAAGTAAGGTGACGTATTACACGCAAACTAAAGGTGCGTGTATTGGTCCGTTCTCAGAAAAAAAAAAAAAAAAAAAAACGTTTCGCACGTGCAAGCAAGAGGGAGGGGCAGACAGACGCACAACGAAAGCGTAAAAATTTCATGGTGTCAAATTAATCGGCCTGGAAAAAAAATTGGGGTGTGTGTATGTTCATACAGCCTAGAACTTGTTCTTCCTCAACGAGCGACGAGTCTCCCAGCTGTACAGTGCAGTGCAACCGCCAGCCTGGGGTCTGTAACGTGCATCACGCAGTAGTGATACACGACCGCACGCCGGTATGAAAGGCCTCGAACACAGCGCATGCAGCGTCAAACGACTGCGTGGCAGCAGCTTTCGACTTCATTCCCACCACAGAAAGCTGGGAACGCGTCTCCCACTGGTGCGTGAATTGCGTCTCAAACAGTGGTTCCTCGACGTCTTCCGCCTGATGACGTTATAAAAGTGCCGTGCTGTCGCCGACCGCGATCCTGATCGGCGTCGCATCAGCGGTGGCGGATGTGGATACCTGTTGTGCACGCTGCAGGTCGCTCTCCAGCTTCACGGCCCATGGAAATTTCGGCAGCCGGGAGTTGGGGACGCCGTGACGACCGCGACATCTCACGCTCGCTCGTGCTTTTCGCCATACAGCATATCTGCGACCAATCGCCGGGATCGTGACATGGCTTCGTGATGTCTTTAGTTGTTGGAAATATGCGCGATTAGAAGGTTTCCCCGTGGTCGGCCTTCGATGGTTGGCCAAGAGCTCACTATGAGTCTCATTTGGAAGGACTCCGGAACGAAGGCACTTAAAGACGCTTTCAGGCAACTGTGCATGGCCGCCGCCATAACCGGCCTTCAGTTTTTGTTTCCTCTCATTCCGTTCGCTTCACCTCATTACCACAGGAGGACAGGTTATTGCCACTTTAGGGGCTACAGTGTCCTTCTCTGCAGCATAGGCCTTTGTGGAGGCTTGTCAAGGCCCGCTTCACTGGCTCGACATCTCGGTAAGACAAGAAAAATTCGGCCGTGGCGGCTCAATCTGGCGCGTGTTTTAAGCATCGATAAAATCGGCATTCGCAACTTTCATGTGCTGTAGGGGGCGCACTTGCGCCTATCAAAATGGAAATAGTTGTCATCTGGATGATCTAAAGTCGGACGATCAACGCTTCAGCGTAGCACAGCAGGACGATGATAAGACTGGTTCACACATGTGTCGGTTGCATTCGCAGCAGTCGAAAGGACAGTCACCGGGATAAGGCAAGCGATGTAAGAGAGCTTCGCGAAGCAATCTTGAGTCGTTTTTGTTCCAGTTGCCCAGTAGCACGAACTCGATGGCGCGAAACATGCGCTTTCAGCAAGAACGCCACCACAATTGTCGTTGATGTGACGTAACAATCGCCCGCGATGTGGCCTCGCAATGGCTGCCGTTGTGACATTAAGCGCATATCGAGGAGCTCTGTCGAAGCGAACACAACTAAGGGTAATGATATCAGAAGTACGCCTGGTGACTTCAGGTTTCCACCATGCTATTTCAACGCCACCTGGCTCTTTCTGTATACCGCCAAACTCGTTCGCAGTCGAGGTCGTCAAGATCACGACCGCAAAATCCTGACCGTCACATCATAGACAAAGGCCATATAAGTTTTATATTGTTATTAAATGGCGTTACAAAAGTAGGGTTATAAATTAATTGGTTAATTTATTGAGTAATACCGCTAATCTCACAAGGAAATTTTAGCAGGTGGGTATAGAACGGGAAAAAAATAGTACCAGTTCACAAAGAACCATACCAGAAATAAAAACACTCTTTGCACAGAATTGGTAGAAAATACAAACAGTTTACACAAGACGCACAATGCTCTCGCAAAACATCCACACGGCATCAATTCTTGGTCGAAATCTAAGCGTATACGAAGGCACAGGGACGCAGCATTTCGGAGTGCCAAGGAAGCTTTGATCGTGACGCGAGACCGGCGAAACTTGCATTCGAGGAGTTGTGTCTTTTCCCTGCGGCACTGCGCTTCCGTAAAAACGTCGACGTGTTCTCAACGGCAAGTCTCACGGCTTAGATGGGGTTTTAAATAACTTCTTCAGCGAATGACGACGATCGAGTAGAACACGTGTCTTCAGCACGCTGCCGCCAGCCTCCGCAACGCTCCAAGAACGCGATTTTTCGAGATGCAAGATGGCCGTCCGGTGGCCGCACTCGCGGAGCGGGGATGCATGCGCAATCAGTGGTTCAGTCCACTGATCTCTATTATAATAGAGATCAGTGGTTCAACCCATAGTTATTATAATGTACGCTATAGAGGTTCAACTGGCGCTAGTGTCTATGCGACTTCCGTGACGCAAAATGAAGCAGACAGCAACCAGTCTACTTTTGCGGCGCTCCCGTGCATTCCTATGGGAAAACGCGCGTGCATTTTGTCTCTTCGCTAGAAAAAAAAAAAAACGAAACACTTAGGTTATTTGGGTCGTACCGAATAGTATGTACCTTAACATTGTAAAAGCGTAATTGCTTTAGCGCATTTTTCTTTATTAGTGAACGATGTTTAACTTCGCTGTATTTCAATCCCAAATGTGTGTTCCGCCGCACGTGTGTAAAAACAAGCGACGATTCAAAGCAAAATTACAATCGAAAGGAATATAGTGTGTGTTCAAGGCTCGCCAGCATTCCGGTGACGCTTGTATATTGTTAATATGCCAGTCCTGTCACTATGTGAAAATGACCCTGTCGTGCATGAGCGGATAAAAACATTCAAAACGTAGATAATAAAGCACGTGGGCTATGAAAGGTGTCTCTTCGTGTTGTTCTCTCTGCCTGGCAGCTTTTATCGGGCACTTGTTCTCAAAGATTTCGATCGTGCTTGTGATATTTTGAACGTAGAAGTCCGCACAGAGCAGAAATAAGAAAGAGGTACTTATTTAAAATCGGAATATATTACTTGGCCTTCTATTTATTTTGATCGTACTGTCGTGAGCAAAAGTCTGGATAACACGGGAGCGCCGACCGAATTGCATCGCCGCGCTCCCTGACGGCGCGGCGCCTGGTGCCGAGACCCGCGCAACGCGCACGCGCGTCCTTTCTTATATCCTGACCCACTCGTTCGCTCGCTTCAACGCGATGCGCTCCTGAGCGATTAAATGGGCGCTAGGTGCCGCCCCGGGAACCAAGATTCCGAGAGCCTCGCTCGCCGCTCGGGACGAGCTCGCGTGCTCCGTGGCACGCGCCGTTCGCGCATATCTTTCTCGCGACTCGGCAACACGTTAAAACTGTCGCTTATGTTGATGCAGCCACAATGAATCGTAGAACTTGTATTCGCGTACTCGAGGCAGCCTTGGGCTTCCTTCCGAGTAATCAATCATGCACGCGCGGTAAAGTGGTGAATGACGAGCAAAAAGAAAACGCCAAATAAGAAAGAAATATTTATTCAACCCGCCTCCCAAGAAAAAACAAGAAATAAAACGGAAGGAAAAAGAGGCGCTGGTTCAGTTTGGGAGGCTTGTAATCTTATATGGTTGATAGCGTCAGAAGGAATCGAAAAAGCATCACCTTCCTGCAAAATGTTGCAATTCTGTTGTGTAATCGCAAAACAGAAATGGAAATATTTCCCCCTCTGCAGCCGTGCGCGGCGGCCATGGGAAACGCGCCGTGACGGTGACGCGGGGATCGCTGCTGCTCAACGCCTCACGAAGAGCAGTAGAAAGAGAAAGAGTAAAGATCCTTGAGGAGAGCGCACGAAAACCGGTGCATTCTCAAGTCGACGTCACTTAGCACGTCATTTAGAGAGTTGAGGGGTGCCGGAAACTTGAAACTTTGCTATTGTTTAAAATTATAATTAGGGCACACAGACTAAATCGCTTTTCTGTTTACTTCGGAGAACAACTCCTATAATTATTTGGCCACTGTTCGGAAATCGTTGCATAGCCGCTTTATTTTATGACTTCCGGTACAAATCGTCACAGCTGATCTCAAACGGAACATTTTAAGGCCACTTCGCGAACAACCATGCTGAGAATTTGTGGCCAGTACCATGTTTTTTTTCTCGTTGTTTTCTTGGCTTCTTGACCCTTTACAACGCGTGCATAAAACATTGAGCAGGAGCTGTTTGCATTGTAGCCGGGGCAAATATAGGGGGAAGCTTAAAAATAACGAATGGAGGGAAGCGACAGTTTTAACGCGTTGCCGAGTCGCGGGAAAGATATGCGCGAACGGCGCGTGCCACGGAGCACGCGAGCTCGTCCCGAGCGGCGAGCGAGGCTCTCGGAATCTTGGTTCCCGGGGCGGCACCTAGCGCCCATTTAATCGCTCAGGAGCGCATCGCGTTGAAGCGAGCGAACGTGTGGGTCAGCAGATAAGAAAGGACGCGCGTGCGCGTTGCGCGGGTCTCGGCACCAGGCGCCGCGCCGTCAGGGAGCGCGGCGATGCAATTCGGTCGGTGCTCCCGTGTTATCCAGACTTTTGCTCACGACAGTACATGCGCGGGTAGTTACGGTAGTTCTTGCCGTTTCCCTTAATTTCCAGATGTCCTTCGTTTGTTTGGCACGTATATCCCTCATGCTGAAATGCACCAACGTCGTGTTCGCGCTAAGCGTGTCCGATAGTACACATAAATACACGTACAAAGCCGTTTTAGCACCGTTTTTAATGCAATGAATTTGAAAGATAAACGCCTTAACTGACTAATTATTTCGTCGGCCTGACTGAGAAATGTTCCAAGCACCTAGTACGAGGAATTATTCGGGATGTTTGCTCTTATGATCGAGCGCAGGGAAAAATGCACTCACCTTTTCCCATAGAAATGCATTACCCGAAGTCAATTTTCGACTGGTTGCTGTCTGCTTCAATTGGCGTCAGCACACTAGCGCCACTTGAACCCCTAGCGCACATTATAACAACTCTGTGGTTCAACCGTGTCACTAGGAAGCCCGTTCCACTTTGCCACCGTTCGTGGCAAAAAGGTAAACTTAAAACAATTATTGGGATACTCAAATGAGACTATGGAGAATCTCTACCTTTTTCTCGTGGAATAGCCCTGAGAAAAAGTTATATAATTATTGTGATTAATTTTATAATGTCCATGAATGATTCGGTGCAGGAATTTTAGTCCGCATACTCGATTTTTTTCCCGTCAGATATGGAAAGCCAGCTTTGTGCATTAGATGTGTAACTGATGTCCTCCCGTATGTGTAAAGCCAGGGTCACCCTGCTTATACGTCACACAAAAGACAATCTGCAAACAGATTCGAACTCAAGTCAACCGGAGATCTGCGCTTCGAATGCCGCATAGCAAAGAGTTCAAGGAGAAACTTGGCACACGGCATTCGAACCGCAGATATCGCGGTGACTGATGTCTGCACTGTCTATGTATAAGCAGTGTGGCCCCGGCTTTAGAGATGAATCTAACAGCTTTATTATAAACCCTGTCTAACTTCGTAGTATTTAATTTCGTAGCTTGTATTAACAATTATTAATCGCGGGTTCCGATTAATCGACACATAGTGCACGCTTCAATGGTGTTGTTACGGGTGCTATCTTCGTCGCTGTCGAAGTGAATGTCGCTGTCATTTCGAGATTAGTAATCAGCTTGGATCTGCTCCTAAGGGACGCCATGTTTCCAAAATGCACAACCATAAACATTGGTACGTTTGTTTTATGTTTATATATGCGTCACGATATGGAACATCCAGAACGGTGAGGAGAAGAGGGATCACTCTATGAATCAGTAGACCAGCGGGTTGTTTTTGTTTTAGGTCATTGTCTCAGATCTATATAGAACCAATACTTCTACCGCTTGGGTCAAAGGGATCGATGGCCGTTTGAAGAGACGGCATAAATCGGGTTCTTAACGTATCGCGCTAGCATTTACTACAGACGTGCCTGAAGTTGGTGGAAGCTTTCGCTAAAATTGTGGAAAGATTGACTCACACGAGTAAATCAAGAAAAATTAAAAACTATGTTTTCCTTATACTTTGCATGTTCACTAAAATATGATATGTGTTTCTGTGGCGCTTATTTGGGCCAAATGAAGTGAAGAACGGGTAAGTATCTTTTATTTACTTTCCATTTAACCAATGTTTCTGTCGTAATAAACGCCAGAATACCCCACAACGATTTTCTGCTGATTTCGAGATAAAAGGTTACCGATAATGTTTCCATAAATAAAACCTTTTTTTTTTTTTTTTTAATTTGGAGGTTTTGTGAATTTATATTTTCATTTTATAAATGCACCAGCTTTGAGCACCTCTGCAGTAAATCCCGGCGCAACAAGTTAAGGCACCGGTTTCTACGGTCCCTTCTAACCGGACCGATTCGGAGAGGTGGCGCACTGACAGAAACGCGGGACGAGGCTTATCGCGTTCAAGTTTCTCGCTTCGCAATTACGTCCCTTTCGAATTTTCATCGGCCGAAGCAGCAATCTCATTGGTCGCGGAGCGACAAGATACTCGAGACCTGCCAAACCCCGTGTTGTTCCAAAAACGCGTCTTTGGCGCGCGGGAGCGCAAGGAGCCCCACTCAAAGGGCAACACGACAGAGAAAGCAGAGAGAACGCCCAATGACGGGGTAGCCAAGTGACGTTGCATGCACTGTGTTCGAAGCCGATTCATTTCATGAGATGCCGTGTCTTTGGTCGACGTCGGGAGAAGTTAAAACGAAAGGCACGCGGACGCACTTGGGAATAAACAAACGCTCGAGGTGCGCGAGGCGCAGACGAACTTGCACGCACATGGGGTCACTGACGTCATCGACGTTTTTTCGACGTCTTTTCAACGTGTCTGCGCTGCCTGGGATGCAGTGTGGCATCACTGAGATTTCTATCAAAGCTATGCGGAGCGCAAGTTTGTCTGCTTCTTTTGCAAAGGTTGTGGGGACGTCAAAACATTCGGCTCTGATTGGATCTGATACGAAGGATAGTGGGTAGACCTCGAGGCAGCTTGCTTTGGGGTGTACCCACCATTCTTCGACCAGAACCAATCAGAGCTCGGCCTTCGGACGCCACCGCAACCCCTGCAAAAGAAGCAGACGAACTTGGGCTCCGCGTAGGTTCTATACTATTCCCTCTGGCCTCTCCGTTCAGAGACTTCGTTTGTCTCTTGTGCATGGGACAGCATCCCCAGCAACCCAGAGATGTGGAACATGGACAGCGTCAAAACGGCGGTCATCCAGCTGCTCAAGGAGATGTCCCAGTCCAAGCTGGCCAAGATCTGCCCCCTCAAACAGGTAAAGCCGCGCCAAAGTATGCGACTCAAGCACAGAAACGCCACCTCTCTGTATTGCGTTATTTTTTTTAATTTTTGATTGGTTATTTAAGTTTTTGCATCTTGAAAAACGCATATATCTCTTTCTTCGATTGTTGAGGAACCACTCCCGCTCTCGGCACTGTGAATGTGCCCCCCGAACTTGAGGTGACCACCACAGAGATCGCTGCCACCGTTGGGAAACGTTAAGCGCTGGCACTGATGTAATCAAGTAATAAAAAAAAAATTTCAGCCTTTCCACTTTGGTGAAGGAAGAGCAGCGGGGCTGTAGCTTCTGTTCTCGGAGGTGTCTTTCCAGGCAAGCGATCTGCTCTTCTTTCGCAAAAAAAAAAAAAAATATGAAGCGCTTGACGCAGTGGAATTTTAGGCGATAGCGACCTCGCGGCGGTTGCGAAACCATTCGCCCTGGGGCCCTAATCTGGACACTTGGCGAAAAAGTCGGCGAGAAATCTGGCGGCTGTGATTGGCCGATGCCGCACTTGACCTTGGCGCCGGCCAATCATAGCCGTCAAATTTCTCGCCGTCTTTCTCGCCAAGTGTCCAGATTAGGGCCCCTGCTGCGCACATCGCCGCTCGTTCCCTTTCCCGCTCTCCTTCCTGCGAAGTTTTGCCGCCACGGCGACAAGCAGACAACCGGCAAACACAAGATTCTGGACAGCTACCGCCATCTATGAGCGACGGCGGCAACCAGAGTGTTGTGTCGGCCACGGGTGTCGACATTTATTTTGTACCGGACGCTATCCTGGGGAAACAAGCCATTAACAGCTCCGCAGTAAAAAGCCCCCACATCTTGTGAACGGTAGGACACATACTATAGGGAGTGTTATCGGATGGCACAAACCTTACAAAATAGCGCTTAAACTCGAAAACTTTACTAGGGAGACGAACGACCGGGGAAATTTGAGAGCTCGGGGAGCTATTGAGGGTACTCTGCGAAACCCATGAATTCCTGGGAGCCCAGTTTGAGAACCCTTGATATAGAGTCTATATTAGTGGAATTTCGTCAATATTTGGTTAGTGGAATGTGGTCTAGGTTAGTGAAATGCGGTCTCGCTGATAGTCAGGGGAAACGCGCACCCATTTCGAAAGTCACGTGCACGTTGCTAGAATGTCTGACAATGCTGCAGGGTGTCCCCCAAAAAATGGCGATGTTTTTTCCTCACTCCAAAAATGAAAAGCGTTTACAATTATCAGTAATGCCGAATTAGATCGCAGCTCTTGAGGGCGAGTAGGGGAGAGTACGGATGGGAGGGAATGCCCTTCCTCCCCCTCCCCTCCTCCTTTCTTGCCCCCTCCTATTTAGCGGGAAATTTTCTCTAAATTCCTCCTAAATTTAGCGGAAAATTTACAAACATTTTTCCGCTAAATTTAGCGGAGAAACTGAATTGGTGTTGAAGTCACGTGACGTCAATTTCCCCGCTAAATTTAGCGGGGAAATTTTTCCGCTAAATTTCACGTGACGTCACATTCATTCATGTGGCGTCAGACCTGACGTCCTGTGTGACGTCACAAGGGTAAAAGTTTCCCGCTAAATATGCCGGCGTCGTCGTCGGCGTAACCGCACGTTGCATTATGGGACGTTTCCCATAATGACGTCACACGTGACGTATCGTATGACGTCACGAGGGTAAAATTTTCCCGGTAAATTCAGCGATAAAATATCCCCCGCTAAATGCAGTGAGAAAAATTCCCCACTAAATTTAGCAGGAAAGTTTTACCCTCGTGACGTCACGCGTGACGTCAGACGTCATCATGGGAAACGTCCCATAACGCGATGCGCGGTTACGCCGACGGCGACGCCGCCAAATTTAGCGGGAAACTTTTACCCTTGTAACGTCACACGGGACGTTAGGTGTGACACCACATGAATGAATGGGACGTCATGTGAAATTTAGCGGAAAAATTTCCCCGCTAAAGTTAGCGGGGAAATTGACGTCACGTGACTTCAACACGAATTCAGTTTCCCCGCTAGATTTAGCGGAAAAAGGTTGGTAAATTTTCGACCTAAGAGCTGCACTTTAAAATAAACTACGCATCGTCGAACGCGCATTTTCCGCCCAAATGTAGTGCGAGCGGTCCGAAACCAGATGCCAAAGTTTCAGAACTAACCGCTAGCTCATTTAAAAGTTATAAGCAACCCTATGAAAATTTCAATGGGAAAACGGACCCGTTTTCGGTAACAAGCACCATTCAGCTGTATTTAAAAGCTCCGTCGGTCACCATTTTGCTTTCTCCGTCCAGACCGCTAGCGACACATCTGGACGAAGAATGCGCGTTCGGCAACACATAATTTTTTTTTGCGGCAAAAACATTTTTTTTTTTTTGCGTTGATCACAACTTGTACATGCACTAGGACGCAACAATTTACTTCCAGTTGAGATAAGAGAGCAACTCGCGCCCACGTAGGGGGCGCGTGTCATGTGACGTGAAGATGTCACGTGTCTCATGGCGTCGCACAATGTCGCAGTTCCTGATGGTTCTCTATGACAGTTTTCTCGTAGAATTCGGCTGATAAAACACATTCGGCGTAATTTAAACACGATAAACGATACACGTAAGTTGTCAGGATGTCGTAGTCTGTCATATAAACTGACCATTGTTTTCTTTTTTGTTTCCCCAATTTTACTGCAAGGTGGCTGCTCTCACATCGGCATTCACCAAGTTATTATTTGTTTTTACTCCGATTACTTTTATTTTTCTTTCAATACCCGACGCGCGGCCCCACACCGTTCACCCTGACAGGAGTGTTTTACCCCGGTACCACGGCGTTTTCCTCGTAGTCCCCGATTTCCCTCAAAATTGGCTAAACACACCAAGAAACATCGCTGCAGTAGTAACCCAAACATTGGGACAAAATATTTGTTTGTTAGTTTTTCGCGAAGTTTTGAAATTTACAAGTTTGGTCGAAGTTATTAAATTGAGAAGTTTTGTCGTTACCGTGTTTTGTGAACGTGAACGTCTCTACTAGCAACAAAAAAGGCGACGCCAGGTAAAGGCAGGTGTTCACTCTTTGTACTGTAGACTTTGTTCCCGACTGATTACAAGCAGTTTCATGGTGTCAAATGAATGCTTCGGAAGCTCGCTCCAGTCCCCGCGCAGCAGCACGAAACAAATGCTCGGCATGTTTCATTTTTTTTAATTGCCCGCTCGACCTGTAAGCGTGCCTTCCCCTCACGTCACGGCACTGAAAAGCGCGGGTATATTTGAATCTTGCCTTTGGCATCATTTTCACTTGCCGATTTCACAGTAACCATTTTGAATTTCGCGACACTAAATTGCATACCGGAAAGGGTGAGAGCAGTGATTCCGAAAATACAGTTAGTTGGAGTTCCTGTAAAAATCGCCGGAGTCACCGGCGATTAACTGCACTGCGGCGAAGCGACATGCGCAGAATCGCGACGTCTACTCCGCGGGCCTAGTTTCTCTGCAGTGCACCAGTGCGCGGTGGAAAGCGCACTCAACGGGTCAATTTAACCCGCCCGAAGAGAGCACGAAACTTCTAAACGCCGAGTCATGTTCGACGCGAAGGTCAAATCAAATCACACGTTACACCTAGCGATAACCGAAAGTTTTAAAAATGTTCGCAAACTTACCGTTATAAACAGGGTTTCCGTACTGAAAAAGTTAACTCAACGTTTTGGCGGAATATTGGCGCAAACTCTTCACATTTTGGTGAATTGTAGCGGGGTATGCAGTTTGACACAAACGGCGTAGCGATCACATCACTGCCATTCCCTCACATTAAGTGGAATGATTACAAAGAGTAACGGTTCAGCCTGCGAAAATAGTATTCGGTTTGTCACCTCGGTAACCGAATGATCGCGTGCCGAATGCACAAACATCGTGAATTATCTGAAGAATATAGCGGGGCTAGCGTATTGCGTACGCACGCAACGCTGGGGATTTTGCGTTGCGGGCTAGCGGGCAGCTCTCGAGAAATCTCGGGTCCAGCGAGAGGCGCCAGTTTCAAAATGGCGGTTACCTCGACTGGCGCAGCAAGGGGCGACGTGGTGCTCGCGAAGTTGAGCGTTGCGGGAAATCGTGTGGTGTTCAGCTCGGCGATTCTTTCCGGGACCTACCGCGGTCGAATCAGATCAGAGTGCATAGTGCACGCAACGCTGCGATCTGCTCGATGCTCAGCTTCTTCGCGCAGTACATCGCCGAAGTTGTCGCTATACACTGGATAGCTTTGTTCCATAGTAGGTCGTAGATTTGTTCCCGCGATAGCAGAGATAGAAGGTGCCATCCCCACGGGACGATCGACGAAGGCTCTGTGAGCGAATTTGGCTACGCACTCGTATTCTCCGTATCTTGCAGAAGAGCGCGCTTGACCACGCGGCGGCGGCGGCTCTGTTCGATTTGAAATAAAATGATTGGAAACGTTTTCGTTTTCAATATTTATTTTGAGGAGCATGGTTTCTTTATAACCACGTGGAATTCTAGGGCTTTGGCAAATTTAACCAAAATCATGCGAGGTGTTCACTCGGCAACGTAACGCACAACTAAAATCGGTCCGAGCAGGTCGTTTTTAGCATACCCTACTATTGCGTACGCAAAACCCGCCACCACTATACTAAGACTGCCTATTTATTTTGGTTTCGTTTCGACTTTTCGTCCGTTGAGTGCGCTTCCCCCGTTACGCCGGTGCGATGCGGGAAGCCATACTCGCGAAGGGGGGGGGGGGGGGGTGCATTTCGCCCTAGCGATACCTGTTCAGTCCGCATAACTTTGGCGAAGCTCGCAAAGCCCGTTACCGATGGGCTCATTTTTACTCCGATATTGTCATGAACTGTTCACACGCGGATTGCCATTGAAGTGCATTTGAGGGGAGCTGATTAACATTGAAGTTTGGGCTAGTTGGTACAGACAACAAAAACAGCGCGAAGATAAGGACGAAGTAAAAGGTAACCGACAGGACACGGCACTGTGTCCTGCTCGTTACTTTTTAATTTGTCCTCGTCTCCGCGTAGTTTTTGTTTTTATCACGAGTGGAGCTTGTTTGTTTTAATCAAACTAAGCGTGGTGTTTTCCGAGTACGGTTTTTAGTCTGAACAATGTTTCCCCCGAATATCGACAACTACGAATATGGAGAGACGAGAGGCATTGAAAGTCGTGACACCCAGGAGCAACAAAATCGACCATTGGCGTCACAACTAAGTGATGTGTAGTCATGTGGTCATCTTCTTAAAGGTGACCATCTTCTGGTTTTCTAATATTTTTAAGTTTCACACGTGCCAAATACAGAAAAGTATGCCATGGTACAGACAGTGTCGATTAGCTCGGTGCTCCAGCAGGTTATGATGTCATCAGGTTTGATTTCTAGCACCTTAATTTCCCAGCATTTTTTTCCTCTCTTATTTCCTTCCCATCATCGCCTTTTGTTTACTTTTCCTTCCACAGTCACTACTTTCAACGATTGTGAACAACAAGTTCAGCGGGAAACTGGGCGCGGAGAAGTGCAAGGAGTTTGGACGCTGGTTCATGGAGTACAGGCAGTCGTCGCCGGGTAGGTACCTCTTGCACTGCAGGTTAATAAGATCAAACAATCGAGAGGGAGGGGGAATAGGACCGCTTACCTCAACTGAAGGTCACTTTTTCAAATGCTGCAAGTGCGGAGCAAGCTCCTGCCAGCATGACGTTAAAAATAATCACGGCATAAAAGATCATCACATTGCTCTGCTGTTGGTATACTCCGTTCACCACTTGGTACCGCTGAATTCTAAGTTGCGACAGCAGGGTCGTGCCCATCAGGGCTTGTTTTCACAGCATTTGCTCATGTCAAACAAAGCAAAAGTTGAGCTTTTTCTTGGGGGGTTTTCGGGGCGTCGTCTGGGAGGGGGAGGGGGGGGGGGGAAAGGTTGCAGGTGTTGTACACTTACATCGAGAATCCTCTGATCACTACACCATGAGGCAAAGGTTAGACACCTCCCCAAGTAGAAGCGACTCACCCACCATGCTTCATACTATGTGCCTTCATGTGCGCACAGGAAAAACACTCAAGTGTTGCACTAGAGCTGCCGCTATGAAGGTCTGCCTATTTCTTCTGTCCCAGCCACGGCGTCCACGTTCCTGGACGAAGACAAGCCTCCCCAGGATTGCCGCATGACCTTCCACTCTGGCACGGAGCTGCCGCGCATGCGTGAGTGGTACCGACAGTGCCCGCACCCGACCAACCTGCAGCTTCAGGACTTCGTCAATCAGCTAAATGCGGGAGCTCTGCGCATACGTAACAAGTGGGTCTTTTTCTGTTTTTTTAGGCATTGCTTAAAGGGATACTTCAACGAAATTTGAAATACACCCGTCATGTTCAAAAATAGGTTGAATATGATCTCAATATCCGTAAATGAAAATCGCACGTTTGCGTTTTGAGCCTGGTGGCTGTATTTTTCGTTATAAATGGCCCACTCTGGCAAGTGCTCGGAGAACAGCCAGCGGAGAGCATGTGACATCCAACGCAATCGTGACATAGTTCGTCTCGGGACGAGCACAGCTACGATGAGGCCGACGTCGAGAGGATGGCCTAGTCGTTCCAGACACCGAAGCGGCTGCTTTTGTACGAATTTTGAGTGACGGGTTAATCTTCTATAATCTTGTAGGGGGACAATAGCGACTTCTGGGACGTACAAAGGGGATTCTCGGGAAGAGGGGAAGTCCTCCCTCCCCTCTTTTCTCGTCGTGGCCGGAGGCGAGACAGTTACCGTCACTAGCTGTCAGATTCCTAGACGGGCATTACAAACGAGGCGTTAGCGACATCCACCAGGTGCTCTTTGCTAATAGTTTAATTTGTTTTAAAACTCCTTTTTGTGACTTTTTTGACAAGATATTGGTGTGTTCGGTGTGATACTGCTCCTTTGAACACATATAGACCAAAAAATTAGCGCCGAAACTTAGTTGTAGTATCCCTTTAAGATGGTAGACACTGCTTTTATAATCTCTCCTCAAAGTAGCAAAGCATATGGCAATACAAAACAGTGACAACTTTAAACAAAACAAAATAAAAAAAAAGAAAATGGGCTGAAGTGCTTGTCAGTTCTGCTCAGCATGCAAGCGTTTTGCTGCCACAAAGTATTTCAAGTCCCACACGGGCTGGCTCATGTGATTAGCCTTCATGTGTAGTACAGAACACCTGTGGACAATGTCCAAGACAGTGAACAAAGACACTTATTAAAACATATAAAATAGCGCAAAAAAGACAAGGACAAGAAGTACACAGGACAGGCACTGTCCTGTATACTTCTTGTCCATAGCGCCTGTCCTGTGTACTTCTTGTCCTTTTTGCGCTATTTTATATGTTTTACTAAGATGAACCAACTAGCCCAACAACGTACCCTACTAAAAGACTTATTTCTGGTTGATTGCAACGACTCCTCGTTTCATCCTAAGTCAGAGCACAATCGATGCTATGTGCCAATGAGACCAACCAAGCAGCATCAAAAGCACAACATCATGGCATCTGCCATCTTTCTGTATGTGTTCCACCGTCGGCTAGACCAATTAAGCGGAGTGAATACCCCGCAACTTGCACATTTAGTTCGTTTATCCACGAGTGCACGTTCGAGCCCTCGGCTGTGCACTTATTTATGATGAAACGAAGCATAGTCTGCTGTGCAGCAATAGATTTAGAACTCTCTCAGAAAATGGGTAGTGCCAGGCTCGTGTAGGTAAAGCATTACCCATTTCCCCGTCCTTCTACCCCGCCATCAAACAGACCACCGGTGACACCGAGCAGCCTCAAGAACTGGTGGAAGAACGAGCGTCAACGGGAGCGACGCCTCAAGCGCCACGCGTCGATCGACGAGCCGGGCTCCCCGCCATGCCCGGTCCCCACCAAAACGGTGGCCCAGCGGCCAGCATCGTCCCAGAGCGGCGACGGTGACAGTGCCACCAACCACGAACCTCCGTCCCGCACTGGGCAACCCAACCAGCCCCACCCCTTGCCCGTCCTCCTCCAGCCCCACGTCCTGCCGACGTCGGGCCCACGTCCCACACTTCCCTACGCCTGCCTGGCCCACTACCAAGACGACGCCAGAGGCAGAGAACACCCCTCGATAGTGCCGTATCACCACCACCACCACCACTGCCTGCACCACCACACAAACAACGGTGCCGGCTGTTCGCCGGCGTGCTCCACTTCGTCGGAGGCCGGCGAGCTAGTGGTCCTGACGTCGCCCATGTCGCATTCATGACGCTACCTCGTCAACGTCGGAGGCCGCCATTTCCTGCCGACCCCCAAGGCGGGTTTTCCATGCAGCAGACGACTACCTTCGCCGTGCAGGTCGCCGTCCCCGACGAGTAACCACGCCTCGGCTTCTTCGACGCCGCCCTCGGCGGCCGGGTCGAGGTTATAGGGTTTGCCTCGTCCTTCGAGGACAGTGTCATAGTCATTGACTGAATGAGAACAGCAGGAAGAAGCTTCAGTTGCCCTGCCTCCGGCACGAGCTCAACGATTTTGACATCTTGTGTTCTTCGAGTGCGCACGTGCAGTCAAAGCGCAATGAAAGGCAACGAGCACGCGCTGGAGGCCGGGCATTCGAAGAAGACGCTCTGCTGTTTTCACCTTGCCAGTGACTATGCAGAGAAAAACTGAAGGAGAGGAGGAGACGAGAGCGTGCGGCGATGGCGGAGAGTTGAGCTCCGATTGGAAGGATTAGAGGGTAGACGCAGAGAGCTTGCCCTGTTTCTACCCACCGTTTCCCTCCATTCAGAGCGAGGAAGAGCATCGTCTGCTCCACATGCAGGGTCACGTTCAAACGTCAGACCCTGCACGAGAAGCAGATGATGCTCTTGTTCGCTCCGATTGGAGGGAGGCATTAGGTAGAGAAAGGACAGCTAGCCTTTGTATCTAACCACCAATCCTTTCAATCGGAGCTCGACGTTCTGACGTCACCGCATGCTCCCATCCCTGTATAGGTGGACACAGGCGGTTGTCTATGTGTTTGATTTGTAGCTTTTGTATGGCCAAATTTGTTGTCAAACCCCCCCCCCCTTGGAAGAGGAGTGAACCTCCAGAGGCGTTGACGAGGACCCTTCAAAGTGTATGTGGACGAGCCGGGACTATAAGTAGTGCCAAAAAGTGTGAGGATTTATAAGTCTTGAGCATGCAGAGACAACTGTGAAAGACTGTGAACCAGGAACCATGCATGTGTTGTCTTGTAGAGTTTTCAAAGGTTGACAAGAATGCAGTGATGACGACCGTAGAGAAAAGTGCCGAAAGGCTCGTCGGTGGTGCCTCAATGTGCGAGTCTCGTTGCGCTCCAGTGTCTCGGAGTGTAGCGGCACAAAATGAACACCCTTGTGTTAGCCAAAGAGATGCACATCTTGACAGATTGTGATGAACCTGCAAGCGTGGGACTAAATGCATGTCCACAATGCCCGAGACAGTGACCAAAACATACTTATTTCTCGCTGTCTGCAAATAGCGTGTTCAGCGGTAATAGATGCACAACTCTTCCACGAAATGGGTAGATTCAGATTCGTGGGGTTAAAATAAGGACTCGGGCTCAGAGCAACACTGGATATGTCAATTTCTGACCTTATCTACTTTCACTTTTGTTAAGATAGGAATGAGTATTTGAAAGTTAAAGCATTCATTCCTAATGTCTGAATGTCAATAGGTGCAAGTTCTTAACATGGGTACACTAAATTGAACTAAGCAAAAACTGTATTTCTTTCTCAAACTACATCACTACTCTACACTGCAAACAAGGTCACGCAAGATCCTTCATTTAAGTTTATTTCATTAATGGACAATGCCACTGAAAAAAAAGGAGCAATTTCAGAGCATCAAAAGCCAAAAGAAGGTGCAGTCCCCATGCCCCAAGACAACTACGATGGCTACTTAGCACCTAGAAAATACCTGAAGTGTTATGTAGTATGCAGAGTTTGTAATAAAGGGTCAAGGTCTCAGTTTGTCCCCTATGACATACTCCTCAGATTGATGCCCTTGTATCCGAATCAAGCATGCACAACCACTAACGGCCGAAGTCGCAGAAACCAGACGGCGTCCAAAGGTTAGGCACATTCCTCACAAACCGTTTTCAAACCTGCCCAGCTGCAACAACTACGGTGTGCATCATGACGGTCCCACTAAGGGAGGAGTCCCAGTTACCGAGGCATTTGACTTGGAAGGTTTCACTGTGGTTATTTGAGCTGAATGATACTCTCTATCTAATTTATTTAGATGGTCACAGAGTGTAGAAAACTTTACAGTATGAAGGCAAGTTGAAGATGACTAACTCTTCGTAAAATGAAAGGTGGGCGAAAAAAAAGAAAAAAAGGAGACCACGATGCCTTTTCCTTAGAGGAGGTCGTAGAAGTAGTCGAGCCCCTGACCAAGCTCCCAGATGGCCACACCCGTGCCCAGCTCCTCGGCTAGTTTCAGCCGCCGATCGACAGAATGCAGCGTCGGATAGAACACGGTGCGGCGTCCGTCGGCAGCCCTGAAAGAACACCCAGTGGCAGGTGTCACGTGACCCGCTGGACCCTTTAGAAGGAAGAAGCAGACGCTGACCCCGAAATTGGTGCCGTTTGCTTTGTGTGAGAACTAGGAACGTCTAATTACAGACTTGCATTTGACAGTGATTGGCTGCGCTACGACAACATGCAGCGGTTTACGACAAGACAACACTAGAGCACCTAAATAGCTTTTCCAACAGCTCGATTGGTGTCGCGTGGCTTACGGGCCGCGTTTACGATACGAGCTGCAAGGAGCTGATGGAAGCGTCGATCCGTTGGTCATCTGTGTTCACGCCTCCATGCAATGCCTCCAAGAGGCAAACGCGGTGCACTGATCGGACGCGCGAGCGCTGCACCAGCATTCGGCCGAGACTCGTGACCTCTCTAATCGACGATGAGTCCCGGTCAAACACAGGAACCCTTTAGATTTGTATACGGCTAGACAAGGTTTCCTGGTCTTTGCGAGACCAAATCTATACACTATCTATGTCAGGGGCGGCCAACCTGCGGCTCTTCGCGTGTGAAAGTGTGGCTCGTAACTCCTTCCCCCTCCCCCCCACACACACACACACACACATTGTGCCGCCTCCCTCCCGCTCACACGAGCACTTCCCCAAAAAGAGAAATGGAACGCGTTTTAAATCAAAACACAGGTGGTGGTTTGGTATAGTCTTGCGCTACTGCTACCTTACGTACAGGTGAACTGTTTTTGACTCTGATATATATATTTTTTTTTATTTATTTATTTAGTATACCCTCAGGGCCAAAGGCATTAGAGAGGGGAGTGGTTACAATCAAGAAGAAATTAAACAAACAGAGTACAGCAAAAATGGTAATACAAATAAACAAAAAATGGCATATAATCATACAATGTTAGCTAAGGCGTTCTTGAAGTGATGGGAGTCTTCGATAGTGGCTATTGAAGCAGGAAGGCGATTCCACTCGTCAGATGTGCGAGGCAGAAATGACTGAAAGAAAGCGTTAGTTCTGACTGATGGAATTCCAACCTTATTAGCATGATCAAACCGAGATGAGATGTACTGAGGAGGTAAAATAAGTTTGTCGTGCAGATGTGAATGGTAAAACAATTTATGAAAGAGACTGAGACGAAAAGCTTTACGGCGAGATGCGAGAGATGGCAGGCTGAGGCTAGACTTCATTGAACTTATGCTCGCGGTTTGGTTATAGTTAGAAAGTATAAAACAAACAGAATTATTTTGGACCATTTCGAGTGAGTTTATTAGGTTTTCTTGGCTGGGATCCCAAACTGACGCGGCATATTCCAATTTAGAGCGAATTAGTGTGGTGTAAAGCAGTAGTTTTAATGACGAAGATGCTCGGGCAAAGTTACGTCGAAGGTGTCCCAACGTCCGGTTAGCATTATTAATCACGTATGTGGTATGGGCGGTCCAAGTCAGATCATGTGAAATATGAATGCCAAGATACAGGGTCAAGGGGTATGTTATTAAGGCAGTATTTTGGCAATTGGCAAGGTTTTCTGGACACATGCATTAGTTTACACTTGTTAATATTTAATTCCATGCGCCATGCTTCGCACCAGACAGAGATAGCGTTAAGGTCAGATTGAAGGCAGATTATGTCATTATCGCAAGTTATTTCACGAAAAAGTACGCAGTCATCAGCAAACAAGTGAATGTGGGAGGAAACAGTTGACGCGAGATCATTAATGTAAATAAGAAAAAGAAGAGGACCAAGCACCGAGCCTTGCGGTACACCAGAGTGGACACTGCGCGGCTCGGATGTTAGATCGTTAGCTGAAACAAATTGTGAACGGTTAATAAGAAAGAATTCAAGCCACGTGAGAAGTTTGTGATCAAGGTTTAGTTGACGCAGTTTATAGAGCAGCAGCTTATGACAGACCTTATCGAATGCTTTGGAAAAATCTAAAAATATGCAATCTGCTGATGATGAGTGGTCGAGGATGATATTCATTTTATGCATGAAGGACACCATTTGTGTTTCACAGGAGTAAGTTTTTCGAAAACCATGTTGCGCGAATGTAAAAATGAATTCGATTCGAGAAAGTTAGCAAGATTGGAAAACAGAATATGTTCAAGAATTTTACAGGGGATACTGGTGAGTGATATGGGTCGTTAGTTGAGTGCAGAGGTCTTGTTACCTGATTTGTGGAGTGGAATCACCTTCCCGACTTTCCATTCCGCGGGTAGAAAACCATTGTCGAGTGACTGCTGAAAGATCTTTGTTAGTATGATAGAGGAATAAACACTTGTGCTTTTTAAGAATTTTGGATTAACTTTTTAAAAAATTTAAAAATTTTGGATTGGAAAGTAATCAGAGCTTCATTCATTGCTCTCAAATCTAAAGAAAAGTTTGCACCCCCCCCCCCTCCCCCCCCGCGGCTCTTGGAAGTTTCGTGGTTTTGTTTGCGGCTCTTAGGACCGGTCAGCTTGGCCACCCCTGATCTATGTGAAACAATCTTTTAGCAACACTGTCGGAATTATTTCCGATCTCGTGGCTAAGAAATGAGCAGACGTGAGGAGCAAAGTTGCGTCCACTCAAAGTTGGGGGGGATTCGTGTTCAGTGTGGACGGCCGTTCACAGGGAGTACACGCAGTAGATGAGAAGGCGTCGTTTCACCGAGGAAGTTGGGCGGCAGCCTGCCCAGAAATTTCACTTACTTGTATTCAAAATAGTGCTCTGCAGCATCGGGGTCCCAGCTCACTTTGGACTGCTTGCTCTGGCCAAGTTCGCTCAGAAGCCTGCAAAGCGTTTCAGCGTTTTGGACAAAGGAAATGCAAAACTTGGGCAAGTATGGTGAAAAGCCATTGCGGAGCTGTCGTGCACATATACTGTATTTACTCGAGTAATTGCCGCACTGTTTATGCAGAAAACTTGAGGGTTTGTTTTTCCGCGGAGCACGCAGATCGCCAATCACCCCAATCGACAGCATGATTCCAGCTAGCTGTTTACAGGACAGAGATAATGTCTTCGCGCGAAGATACCATCTGTGAAGTCTGCATTTGTGCGGAGACTCGTGTTCTTGATCTTGTTATTCGCTATGCTATTTATGCGCAATGCGATGATTGGCTGTATATGTGTTCTGTGGGAAAGTAGACGTAAGGGCATTGTTCATAAATAGTGCGGCTATTACTCGAGTAAATACGGTACAATATGCGTGTTCACGACAAGGGCACAAAGAGCAGTTCATCGTACTGTATCGAACAAGGGTCTACAATGAAGGTGAAGGATCACACACAGGTAAGCACAACATGCATGGCACCTTGAAGAGTAAATGTGAACAGCTCAACTCCGCACCACCGATTACACTGGACGTGACAAAATCTACAAATATTAGTCTAGCTTAAAGGACTTATTATGAAACAGGTTGCCCTTTAATTAGAAGCCTTTTGGCTGCCTTGGTGCTGAGACTTGTAGCATTTCTACTGACATCCTTGAAATCTCGGAGACATCTTTTATGCATGATTTTCTCGTTCTTTTTTCTCACACCTCATTTTGTAATAAATCTCATTACAGTGTAGGATGCTCGTCACCCTCGGTACAAAGGAAGGAGTATAGTGTTTAAAGATGCCGTTTATTTGGAGATATGTGTTTGTCCTTTTGTCCCCCTTCTCCAGGGATTATTTTCGTCCTTCTTGTCCAGCTCGCTTTTACCTCTGCACTAATTGCATTATCGCCGTTTATGCTCACCTTGTTGCCCATTAATGACGCCCGGCCAGCAGCCGCACTGCGTCGGCTATATTTCGACTCTACGGCGGAGACGTCAGGCGCCCCTTGAGAAGGGCTAACCTCCCGCTCAAGCTTCCATAAAGCAGTGGCTATTTTCTTCGGAGCACAACCAACACCGATGCTTCTGAATCGCCCCAGCTTGGCGGTTAACCCATCTCCCATTACAGTGAAGGACAAGTGGCGAGGCTGGCAATTAAAGGAGAGGGAGAGGCCTACTTACTGGCTTCCGAGGATAGGTCCTCCCCCGACGCTTGTGTAGGAGTAGCCGTAAAAATTGAGCCCGAGCAGTATGCGCTCCCGTGCCGCACCCTTCTGGGGGGCCAACGATTCCACACACTTGCGCACCCAGTCGATCGGGCTGCTGGGGCCGGGCCTGATGCGTGCGAGATGGCAGTGAATAGGAATGGCAGTTAAAATAAAGATGGTTTCACGCTAGTTTTGAAGACGAGCTTGCAACATCTGACTCAAGGCTGCTCTTATACTGAGAAAACTTATATGTGCAAACAGATAAATGTTAACATGGACGACGGGCACTTGTCCGTGTCCTCTTGTTCGAGTTTGTCTCTGGTTGTGCATACAAGTTTTCTCAGCATCATGCACCCAACAGGTCCAGCAACAAGGCTCATTAAGCTATTCTTATAGTCAGTTAAACATTTAACAAAAGGTTCAAAAACAGAGCTTTAGACAGATTTCCCCATGCACCCGGCGTACTCATGTCACGCACGCCCCCCCCTTCCCCCCCCCCCCCCCCCCCAAAAAAAAAAGGATGGACACGCATTCTTGACTTGAAGAGAAGAGTGGTTAAAACATAAGTTCAGGTGTAAGTTGAGAAGCATATAATAAGACTTTAAGCACCATGTCCTGTTATGACAAGGTGCAAGCAGTGATCCATGAACTGCTTTTTTTTTTTTTGTGTGTGTGTGTGTGTGTGTGTTGGGGGGGGGGGGGGAGTAGCAAATGTTTATTTTTGACCATAGGGCATTACTCAAGCTTACCTTTGAGGGCTAGAGTAGTCGTAAGTCATCAAGCTGAATGCCGTCACATGCTTGGAAAGGTTGTCAAAGTCTTTCTTGGTGAACATGCCAGGGGCATTCCTACATGACAGCAGAAAATAGAACTAGCATCAGCAACGAGGGATTAACCAGAAGGGTCAAGGGCACACACCCTTGATAGACAGACGGCGGTATCACCAAGATAGTGTCCAAGTTCTTCTCTTGGAGTCGCTGCGCCAAATGCTGGATGAGCTTGGTCATTTGTCTACAAGAATGAGTAACCACCATAAGCTTTCTGAGAGAGAAAGACGTGCAGCGACACATACTCGGCCATCTGGCCTCCAAACTGGGACCACAGCTCTATGACGTAACCATCAAAGCCGCTCTTGTCTGCCAGCTCTTGTAAGATGGTAGCCATCGAGTCCAGCTTTTTCTTGGAGGAAGACACTGTGACCAGCTGATTTGGTGTCCATCTCTCAAACAGGATTCGGGGAACTTAAAAACAAGAAAGTTAACAAAAAGCGTCAGCTAATATCTGCATAAAAAAAGACCATTAAATGTTTGATTTACCCATTTTGACGTTCCTGCCCGGTGACTTAACGTCCTTGGTCCAGCCCTGGTCCACATCGTGTTGGCCGGCGACGGTAAATCCTCCCTTGGCTCGCGAGACTTCGAGTTGCAGCCAAACCGGGGATACATAGGCGAACTTGGCTCCGAATATCTTTGCGATATCGTATCCCCGGTTGTTCCACTGCAAGCAGCGTCCGAACAATCAAATTCCCCACTTCGTATGCAGCAGCTTTCTATACGAATAGAAACTCAAGGAGAGGAGAAGATGAGCGCCCATGGGGTACGGGCAAAGCTTTGGGGAAACGCAAAGGCTTTCCATTTCCCACCAACCGTTCCAATCAGGGCTCGGTGTTCTGGCGTCCCCGCGTGCGCTCATATGAAACGCGGGGTCTGGTTCACACTGCGGATGGATGAAGGACAACGTACCGGTGTCACGTATCCCAGCACTGGGCCCTTGAATCGCTTGTCCGCAGTTTTACTCCGACAGTACGACTGGTGGTGCTTGAGTATGTCGTGCACTTTGACGTGTTCCGTGACTAATTCACGCTCGAAGACCGTCGTTTCACCCGGTGGAAGTGGTTTCACGGACTAGAGAAGGCAGCAGAAATTGGTACACGTGTACAAGCGAGTCCGCGTTTAGAAGAGTAGATGCGCCGGTCGTGTTATGAACGGGCAGTTTCGAAGTTGCTACCGTCTACGTACCTTTACTTTCTTTTTATCCGACGGAGATATTGTGCTTCGCGTATTAACTGGTAATAAACATACCAGGACTAGAGAATACGGCAAGTTGAACTTCATTTCGAAAGTTGCACTTGCCCGCGACCACAACAAGCCGCCATGCACTTCCAGGTGATAGGTGAATGGAGAAATGGCAACAGCGGTATTTTTGTAAGGGACGGTAGGTAGCGTCATCTAGCGACGGTATCTTAAACTTATCAACAGGCTGTTTGTTTATTATGCTCTGGCCCCATCAAAGCGTAATCCGTCTGAGAATTTTAATAAACGTTCGTTCCACTCCACTTCACATTGTGTGGAATGATTGGGGGTAAGCGGTAAGCGCTGGAATAATCGTGACATTAAATTGAAATGAAGACCCTAGTTCAAGCAAAAACTTGTCGCCACCCCTTAATTTTTTTTTTTTTTTTTTAGTTGCTAAGTAATGCACGGGACGCCATTCTCCGTTTAAATGAAATTCCATACAAGTTTTCTGAACCTGAACCTGAAACGTAGCGCTAGCGGTTTGGAAGAGATGACGAAGGATCAGACTTAACCATTATCTTATTCAAAGATAATAAGTGATTTCCTCTTTTCTTAAACTTCCAGTCGGAAAATGAGGCCATGTACTCGCGGGCTTTGTCGGCCACTATTTTGCCATTAGGAATTTCTAAAAATTACTTCTATTTTTTTTTTTTTTTTTTTTTAATAAGATAATGGCTTTTTCTGAAAGTTTGACATCCGGTTCGAAATACTAGCTCTACATTTGTGAGGAAAATCAGCGCTTAACAATGCGTAGTGAATTTTTGAGATTAAAATACTTTTTTTGTTTTGTTTTTCGGGGCACCCTGTATATTGGTTTCAACTTCCCCTGACTGCAAAAACAACCGATCATCCAGTACTTTCATTTTTTCAGAGTTTTTGGTGACATCGCGATTACCATTCAAGAGTTCAACAGTAAATCATGCAATCCACATCGCCAATATTTAACCATTTAGCGCTATTCAATAGGAGTTTTAAGGAACGCATTATTTCGCACAAGCTCTTAGTTTCGATCTCTGCGCGTGGGGGCACCGGTGGCCGAGTGGGCTAGCACACACCAGCTTGGAGCACGTGGAGCGAAAGCTTGCGCTGCAGAACCCAGGGTTTCCGGGTACACTGACAAGGCCCGCGCGTTTCCTCCTCTAAACGTCATCACTAGTAGATCCCCTCACAGTGCCCCGCCCTAAGTAGCCCGGATGAGCACCATCGTCTACTACATCGTCTGCTACGTCGCCTACTTGAGTTGTCATGCTCAGAACGAGCCTACATGGTTAGGAGACCGGCAATCTTCATGGTGTCGCGTTGCAAATGAACTGTGGAAGCTCGCTATCAGCTCGCGCTCAGCAGTCGCGCACATACTAATGGCCGCCAGTGAATGCGACGTAGTTGTCACGAGGCCCTTACTCTCGTCACGCTTCAGACTGTTTGCCGTTTGGGGCGGGTCGGGGGTCTACTAACGATGACGTCACGCACAGGCCTTGTCTTCTGGGTGGTGTTGGTTCAATTTCAATCCCCACCCCTGCCCGTTTTGATCTAGATGGCCATCGTACCGGCGTGCGGTGGTATATCATTACTGCTTGATGCACGTTAAAGACCAAAACCTAGCGCTTGTACTACACTGGCTAAATTGCTCATCCACAGCTGAGGCACCAGATGCCCATTGAGGCTAACTTCCGGCCGTATAAACATACACAGTTATTATAATTACTGCTTTGCGCATGTGCAGTTCTCACAGTTATCACGTAAACACAGGTGTATCAACACGTTTTGAAACCATTTTAGATACCGGGCGTTTCTGAGAAAAGTTAACTATGTTTTTCGGCGTTTACCTTGAAGCGACATACGCAGAATCACGATGTCTATTCTGCGGATGTCGCTTCTCCGCAATACAACAATGCCCGGGGAGAAGTGCACGGAACAGAGCTAACCGACCCGGTCGGAAAAAGGCCACGAACAACGATGAATAATCGGGAAACTTACGAGTACTGTCAATGTTCGATACAAATAACTAATTGAACAGTACGTTATTCTAAGCAATAATTTTAGAAAAAAGAAAACTTTCATCCTTTCCACTCTAGTGAAAAAGGAAGACCAGTGGAGCTGTACAATGGAGAGTAATGGCTGGCCGCAAGTCGGCAAGTCATGATGATGATTTTTTTTTTTTATGATGATTTTTTGGCTGTTCCCTTTGAAGCGGGCGGTTTGAATAGAAATCAGACCTAGCCGAATAAAAACGGAGAGAAAAAAATTGCACTACTGTTGCATTCTTCGCCACCAGTCCTCCAGCCTCCTTTTAGTCCTCTCGACTGCGTCGCTGCACTTCCAGCTGGGCTGCAGTGCCACTGCAGCGCGATTTAAGTCCGCACTGGGCCAGCACACAGCATCCCTGTCTGTGTCCCCAACTCGGAAGCCGAGGGCTTCTGCCAGAAATTGTTCGTGTGAATGTGCCTCGTCTAGATGCAGCCCGTTGTCTGGCGCCTGACCCCAATCCACCGGGTGTCTTGGTACGAGACTTGGGCAGGAGAGCACAATATGCTTGATAGTTTCCTCGGTTTCGCCACATGCCCGGCATGATGTTGATTGTACCTGTTGGTCAAAACGCTGCCTGTACACTAGCGTTCTTAGCCCTCCCGCACGTGCTTCAAAAAGCAGGCGGCTGCCCAGGCTATTATCATACAGGGTTGTCTCTGTCGATATTTCATTTTTCCAGCGGTTGTACATTTGCAGGGTTGACTTTGAGCGGGCCGCCTCCGACCACTGCACAGCCTCTTCCTCGCGCACTCTCTTCCGCACCTCCAGTTCCCACTTTTGCTCTGTAGTGGCAGCCATGGGCACAGTAAAGAAGCCATATTTCTTTTTTAGCTAGTACAGTCGCTTTCTCCACTTCGTCTGTATCCCTGTCAGGTGTATGTACACAAATAGTCGTTTGGCCCACCGTCCTCGGTCCATGAGTCGCAGACGCCCGTCGTAGCCGATCTTGCTAGCTGCTTCTCTGGCTTCAAACGATGACCATCCAAGATCTCCTTGGACAGCTTCGTTCGCCACCATGCCATGGCAGCCTAGGGCCTGCCTCCCAACTTCGCGCTGCCGGCGCTCCAGAATGTCGCTCACGTCTCCAGGAATGCACACAACAGCATTAGCAAACGTTAGGCCAGGGACCATGGCTGCTTTCCAGAGTTCCCTTGTAACCAGAAATCGATTGCAGCTCCATAGGTTACGCTTGCGAAGGACACTGGTGTTTCGCACGGCCGTCTTTCTGAGGTGGAGATGGTGTTCCGCTAGGTATTCTGGCTTATTTGTGAGTAGAATACCCAGGTACTTATAGGTGCCTTGCAGGGGGATTCGTTCGCCCTTCAGCACGCAGTGACCAATACGCGGCTCTTCAGGTCCGGCTAGTTGCGCGACTGCCGACGTTTTGCTGTGGAAGCGAAGGCAGCGCGCATCCGCCTCTTCTACACAAATGACTAAAAGCTGCTGTAGTGACTCTACACTTTCCGCTGTAAGTACGATGTCATCCGCAAAGGTGAGGCCTGGTAGCGTCCAGTTCACTGGCTCTCCTTTTTCTAAATGGGTGAAAGAGAATCCTACCCCCGACTGGAGCAAGCGCCTCTCTAGCCCCGACAAATAGAGGATATATAAGAGAGGAGAAAGCGGACAGCCTTGTCGTAGACCTCTTGTTACAGTCACTTGCTCCGATTGGGCACCATTCATCTCTGTTGTCACCGCGTTGCCCGAATACAGACATCGGACCAGGGCCAACCACTGCCGTGGCATGTCTAACTGTTCTAGGTGCTGGAGCAATAACTCGTGAGGTACACTGTCGTAAGCTTTCGCAATGTCAAGGAAGCAGCACAGGAGTTTTCTTCCTTCCTTGCGGGCGACCTCAATACACTGGGTGATCGTAAAAATGTTGTGGAAGGTGGAAAGTCAGAGTGGAAAGGCTGCCGCCATCTATGAGCGACGACGGAAACCAGATACGTGGCTTACCGCCGTCGCTCATAGATGGCGGTAGGTGTCCAGAGTTTGGTGTCTTCATTTCTTTGCGGGTGACACGATCCTGGGGAAACTAGCCCTTAACAGCTCCACTGTAAAAGAAAAAGTGTTGAAAATTTGCAGATGCCTAACAATCCGGTTGTGTAGCGGAGCCTTCAGTCATTATATTTTCACTCTTGAGGAAAGTGAACTTAACTTTTGGCCCGATGTTGCTGCAAATGCCTCCCATCTTGATGATATTGAGCAGGGTGATGTACAAGAACCTTAACGCAGTTTGGCGGCGCAAATGGCACCGCAATCACATCACTGGCTCTCCTCCGACCACGGTTACAAATCGCGTCGAGCCATTTTTGAAGTAACTCGCGTCACCCGGGAAGCTCTTATATTCACTAGTTAAAAACATCTACAAAATGTCCGCCTTTTGTTTTACGCAAAAATAAAGCACGTTTTGCTGAAGGCTCATTGTCCGCCCATATGTATAGCACTAGTGGTTCGAACCGCGAATGCCCAAGTTCCAAAACTAACCGTTATAGCTCATTCAAAAGACATAAGTGATTTTCTGAATTTTTCAACTAGGAAAATGTCGGTTGACGAAGCTCTCGAACACACTAAACTAAATAACGCCGTTTACAGATAAATAAATAAATAAATAAATGACATCTTGTTGTTTAAATTTACAGAAAATCACTCTTAACTTTTGACTGAAATACCGTCTAGTCCTGAAACATTGGCATCTTGTTTCGGACCGCTAGCGCTACATTGGGGCGGAGAATGAGCGTTCGCCGATGCGTAGTTCATTTTTGCGGTGAAAGAAACCCTGTACTTTTGTTTCTTGAATGCCCTGTATACTTATCGATCGGCGGCCAATGAGGTTGCCGCATTAGCCCACAAAATTCGCCAATGAACGAATCAGAAAGCGGGGAGCGTGAACATGATGAGGAACGAGTGTTACATGTTGCGCCGCAAAAAAAAAAAAAAATATATTACCTTTTCTGTCACTGTCTTCTCGACGAGTGAAAGACCAAAAGAAAAAAAAAACCCTCAAATCTGCCTGTCTTTCCTGCTTTTTTTTTATACGTGTATATTTTGTATATATTTTATCGTTTGTTGTTTGT